TTGCAATAGAGGATCCTACCAGAAGTCCACTAAGATTCTAGACCCTCCTATTCCTATAGATGGAACAGAGCCAGCCTACGACAATTGGAGCATTAAGATGAAGATGAAGCTTGAGGCAAACCGCGACCACTTTCCTTCCCTAGCTCTCTAAATGGGTTATGTTTAGAGCAGACTAGGTGGCAAAGCCTCCTCCTACATCAACCCATGCCTACGCTCTTCCTAGAATAAGTTTCAGACTATAGATGAAATGTTTGAAGTCTTAGACAGAGTCTTCTATGATCTAGACCACCGCTTCACAGCCTAGCGTGCTTATAGGAAGCTTTTCTAGAACAAGGACAACTTTGCCACTTTTTGGGCTGAGTTTCAAAGACTTACTATCGAGCTTAATTACTCAGAAGAGACTCTTATTAATGACTTCTGTCATAAGGTTAACATCAAGATGCAAAATGCTTTAGTAGCAGAGATAAATACAGGCTCATTACATGCCTTTAAATAGAAGTGTTTACTCATTAATTAGAATATCTAACAGCTTCAAGCTCAAGAAGCTCGAGCTGTCCCTCGCATTGTTCAGCAAGCTCCTAAGCCACGGCATTCTCAAAGCAGAGCAAGACAGCCATCTTCTGTCAGCTCGAATCAGCTTGTTAACTCTAGGCAGTCAAAGCTATACCAAGCACCCCACCATAACCCAGCTATAGAAAAACTAATGTAGGAAGGCCGTTGCTTTGTTTGCTAGCAGACAGGACATTGAGCTTTTGAATGTCCTACTAAGCAAGCTCAAGTCCACAAAGTGAGCACAGATAATGAACCCCTTTCAGGAAACGAATAACCTTCAGACAAGACGTCCCTAAAGGTGTTACAACAGCCAGAATCTCAACTTCTTCCTTAAGCTTTGGATTAGATCCAGATACTCCATTCATAGTTACTTGTATGATAGGAAGCTCTTATTGATACTAGAGTGTCATACTGACATTGGTTGCACTCAGTTTGCTATCAAACTCAAGAGCAAACTTAGAAATCTCCTCCTCAAACCTACAAGTCACTATACATATTTTGGCTTGTCACACCAACAACAAGAGCAATACTACTCAACGATTGCTACAACCTCTATGATTCATTACATGTCATTGCTCCTTAGTTACTGGGCCGATATGACCACATAGCATATCTCTACAACCCTCTATGATTCATTACATGACATCACCCCTTAGTTACTGGGCTAATACTACACATGACATATCTCTATCAACTAGAGGCCTAGGAACATGAACGATAGCTCCAAAAGCTTCTACAACCGTCTATGATTCATTACACGTCATCGCTCCTTAGTTACCCACAAGATTGGTTAAGTTATGACATAATTTGTCTATAGGGGTACTCTGACCTTGGACCTCCTTTCACTTCCTATAGGCTAGGAACCTAGGAGATGGTTCTATGGGATTCTCTTACGTCGACTACAGTTACCAAGCCTGGTTAGTCATGGAAAGTCTTGGAAAATGAGAGAACTACACTCCTTTAGCATAAATAGGGTTGCCCTTTCCTTAAGAAAGGGCAAGCAGACAATACAGTAAATCGACTATCACATACTTCCACGTCTTTTCCAAGCTTCCAAGCATTGATCTTGTTACTCCTTGTTTCTGAAAAGTCAGTGAGGTGCTAACCTCTGACTTATCCCTGAGTTCTCAAACTCAACATTTGTTACAACTTGTCTAAACCACTCCACTATATCATACACCTGATTGCTGAATTGTGGAATAGTCTAAGCTACGACCCTTTGGCTCTGTTTCCTAAGACAGTGTGTTGTCTTAGTAAAATCATCCCTTCCTTGGGTGGCTAGATTCTCACATCTGGTGCACCCACCATTACATGGCCCACCCCCTTAAGGAGGAGATTTTCTTAATAACTTGTTCAATGAGTGTCCAAATGATATGCCGTGATGTATGTAGCATAAACGGATGTAGTAGAAGAGTTTGCAGCAATCGTTGAGTAGTATTGCTCTTGTTTTTGGTGTGATAAGCCAAGATATGTATGGTGACTTGTAGGTTTGAGGAGGAGATTTCTAAGTTTGCTCTTGAGTTTGATAGCAAACTGAGTGCAACAAATGTCAGTATGACAGTTGTGCTATAAACCAAGCTATTGTCTCTACCTACATCTCCCTAGTTTAAGCACGATGACAATGAATACTACGTCTTTACACATCTATAATAGCTTGTCTTTTTAGTGCCATCTTAAGTTATAAGGATAATTAGGTAGGGATAGGGATCTAGTAGCACAAAATCAGTAGGGATATTCTAAAGAACAGGGTTATAAAATACACACACTTAAGCAGCTGAATTTGGGCAAAGGGATGGCCTGTAGTGGTTATGGGTATAATTGTTATAGCTATGGTAATGTGACATTAGTTACGAGGCTAGGCTCTAGTAACGTGACCTAAGAAGTCACAAGGCTAGCAGGGCTAGGCTGTAGCATGACTAGGCTAGTGGATAGTTGTAGAAACTAGCAGATATTAGATAGTTGAGTTATCCATCAACCATCTAGGTTATCTAGCTTCTATCAACTATCCAGACTATCTATAAGGCACAACACCACTATATAAGTAGATAGTATTCCCTTAGATAAGATCTTATGCTCAACTTAATATAGTATTCTTTACAATACTATAACATGTTACTTAGAAAGCCTTTGTATTTAATGCCCTGCCTCCTCTGTTAAGTCAACCTTATGTAAGAAACCTCTGTGTCTTCTATCATTTAGAAGTCAGTGTTACACTTTAAGCACCACTTCTACAAGGTACTAGCTTATACACAAAGCAACATGTCGGCTATAGGATCTAAGGAAAAGGTTGTAGCTACCTTAGTTACACCAACTCTAGCTATGCTAACGCCTATATCATCTTAGGCAATCCCGCCTTAGGACGAAGTCATGCATAATGTAGAACTAGTTGTCATAGAACTCTAGGAAACCCTATGCGTTAAGTTGCCTAACACTTACTCTAGCAACTGTAAGGAACTTGAAGTGTTTCTACTCTAGATCGAGCTATACTCACACTTTAATGACAACAAGTGTAACACATAGTCACTGGAGGTCATTGGAAGTGTTGGTGGTAGACAAGTTGTTGATTAGTTGAAGTATATAGGTTACAACTACTGAGAACTATATATGTGGGTGGGTGCCACGCCAGTGGCTCCCGTGGCTGTGAACCCTGATTCCTGCAACAACAAGTTTCTAACTAATGAGAGTTACACCTTATAGACGTCATCCTACCTTAGAGGGGGAGCCCTTCGATGGGTAAAATCCTTCCTTAAGGACTATTTCTAACATGAGGACACCTATAGTATGATGGTTACCACCAGAACTATATTTGGTACTTAGAAGGGATTCAAGAAGGAGATCCGCTACATGTTTGGTGATATCAATGAGGTTAAGACCATAGAAGATCATCTGTATGGACTAAAGCAGACTAGTAGCGCCCTTACGTACGCTACAGAATTCCAAAAGATACAGCAACCAAACCAATTAGGATACCTACGTGCTCATTAGCCACTACTGTCATGGACTAAAGAGCCATGTCTATATAGAACTCGCGCGTATAGAACACATGGTCTTGCTCATCGAACATACAGTCTAGATTAACAACCAGCTGTACAAGTTCTAGAAGGAGCAACAAACTTGCGACAACCCGAAAAAGAGTTACAAATATCAAGGTAACAAAGGCTGAAAGAGAGACAACCATTCTCAAGACAACCGGTAGTCAGACCTAATGGAACTCAATGCTACTTGTAAGCAAAGCAACCACCTACACAACCCTAATAAGGAGTGACAGCTTAAGGAACAGCTCTGTTTCAATTGCAACAAGCCTAGCCACATAGCTAGAGATTGCAAGTAGTTAAAGAAAGGGAACGGCAGACGAAAGTATAGCAAATAGTTTAATGCCACTTAGTAGGGTTAGGGCAGGTACAATGCCCTACAAGGACAGCTATGCGCTATGTTATAGGGAAAAGACACCTAGAGCATTAGTGCTTAGGATCTCGAGGAATTCGACACGTCAAACAGAGAAACAGAGTTCCCTACCCCTGCCCCTGCCTAAGGCCAGTTGATAGGGTCCTATGTAACCACTTGTAACACTCTATTTACAGAACCAAAATTCTAACAGCTTAGCGCGTAACATGCTGGCAATCTGTTGCGGAATGGGGAAATACAAATCTAGTATCCTCGTTATTAACTTTCCCCACGAGCACCAGGAACCTTTGGGATCATGGATATGATTTTAATGCTCCTTTAATAACATAGTAATAAATATCAGACCGTACATGGCGGTATCTAACTCAGTTTGCACAAAACGACGATTTGCGGCGTGGCAGACCGTCTTGGGCAATCATCTAATTAATATGAGTCGACCTACCATCGACTGACGAAGAATGGTAAACTAGTAACACTAACGGCGGCACATTTCAAATTAAAATCACCTTAATTATAATGCGACATGTCGATACAGTTACTTGCACTCTTCCCTACGCATGCAGTTAGACTAATCACAGCACCTATCCTCTAGGGTAATTACTCGCCTTCGCAATAGGACAGCACATAGCGGCACGTTGTTGTAAGCCACAAAAGTGAATGAAAGGAGCCAAGCCATAAATCAGGGTCCAAAGACGGCGGAAGTGCGCATGGTGGGTTTGGTTGGTGGTATTGTTGAGAGAATCTGCCTAGGAGGGGAGGGGAGTTGGTATGGAGTTGGAATTGTGTGCGAGAATCTGCCTAGGAGGGGAGGGGAGTTGGTATGGAGTTGGTATTTATACACCTTCTGCTCTTTTCCGCGGCCATAGGACCGAAGCCTCTTGGTATGAATGTCTTGAGTCTCACTTCGCATATTGCTGCGTTAAATCCAGCTGACATAAGACATATTGGTAACAAAAAGAGCAGGCTGATAGGTATAGGATCTCATTTGTCTGACTATCAAGATTTATGTTTCATAATATAATCAGGGGGCGTTGGGCCCTTGCGGAGAAATAAGTAAAGGGGTACTGTATTGTAGCTTCAAGTAAAAGACTATAATTCAACAAGAGCATACGCCGCATGAGAACCGAGGGATCTTTCCAAAGTGTGGGGAGTGTATTCATACGCCCCTGTAGAGCTAGCTCATAAACCACACCTACCACTCATCCCAATGCCTACGTCCCTACGCCTCCTCCCCATTTTCTGGCGGCTCGACATCTTTTGGTTCCAGGTTAGACTAACTTGAAGTTACGCACCTCCCTTCCCTACACAATACATCAGACGCCTAGCCCCACGACGACGCTCTGGGTCAACGTCAACCACTCACCTTTGAAATATCACAGCAAAACGCGGACCTCACAGAAGTCATGGCGGCACAGTTGATGCGAAAAGCACCGACAGAGGCCGGTATCATCGTCGCTGCGTGTGATTAGTAAAGATATAGGGCTGCCAGGGGGTGTTGCCTCACGATCGGTGCAGATCGTATCAGCCCCCTTTGCAGTGCAGCACTGAGGCGTGGGATATTTCTCTTTGTCAGGGCACTCGTAGAGGGCGAGGGCTGTGCTTGCGAGGATGAGGAGGGCGAGGGTGAAGGTGCGCATTGTTACTGATGGGGGTGTGGTTGGTGGTAGGATTGGTTAGGATGAAGAGGTAAATCGAGAGCTCGAATAAACGGTGGTTTGCAGATGAGATTAGGGATACAGTCCACCTATTTATATAAGACTCCCCAGGACCCGATTTCGGTCTGGTCTCAACGAGCAGGTAGGACCTGCATCATCCACGACCCGAGCGGAGAAACTCAAATCGCACGGAACTACCTACAAGTATCAGCACAGCTACCAGTGTCTCGCCATCATCAGGCAAATCCATTTCTAGCTCACGAGTCGTCCCAACCTAAGCCTTATAGATGTCCGATATGCACAGACAAACTTAAAATCTTCAACCTCCGGGCTAGCTATACACATCCACGATCCGACGCGGGGAAGTGGAAAATGCTCAGAGCACACACCCGTACAGCGATCTCGACCCTCCCCTCCCCCCTGAACCCCTAATCACATCCTCAACACAACAAACCTCGACACAACAAACCTCGACACAAAACACACGCCCCCACATAAGAAAAAAAACAAATCATCGTCATAAGAATCGTAAAGGTTATATCCCTTCTCAAGCGCTAGCCTGTACTTATAAAAATAGCCACCAGCATCCAGCCGCCGCCAGCCATCAGCCACCAACGGGCACCCTAACCCCCATTCATTTCTCATCGTCCTACATCGCATGCGTGCACAAATATGACGCCCTTTTTCCATCAGACTTCCCTTCCCACCAAATTTCCCACCCCCATGCCTTTCCAGCAAAACTGATTTCAAACGACCAAGACAAGCAAGACATTACCGCACCGCAACAAGTAATTTTCGCCCCAAAAAGCCACAACAATTAGACAAAACAACACAAAAAGCCAATCCCAACGCTCCCTCCCCATCCTTCCTTTTTCCATTCCTTCCTTGTTAAGGAATCCTTTCCCTTACTCAGAACCACCTAACCCACATAATTAACTCCCTCCCCACCCCACCCCACCCCCATCTGCATAAAATTTCTCCCCGTCCCGTCATCCATACCAAATACCGCCCAGGAATCCATGTCCATCCCGGTCCCAAATATCTCCAAATCCTTGCCGCCGTGCATACCAATCGCCTCCAGGGTCCTAAACGCGTTTTCCGGGCTCGGCATCGGGGACGCCCACGCACCGCTGCTGGTTGACGCAGGGGGGCCGGGCTTGTAGGTCTCGGGTGAGGACTGTGCGGGATGGTCGTAGGGCGTGGAGTTTGTGGTGCCGCTTGCGGGCCGGGGGTGCATAGAGTGCAGTGCTGTTGCGGCGGCGCAGGTGGAGGTGGGTGGGTAGTAAGTAGCAGTATTCTTTGGGCTGGCGTGGTGATTCACGTATCCCTTGTTAGAGGGTGTGTACGCCTCCGCCGCGCTGCCATTGCTCGGGGTAGCAGTGGTGTTGACAGCGGCCCATCCATTATCGGTGCCATTTCTCGACGCGGAGCGCGCGTGATCGGACGCCGGGGGCTCGGCTTTGATGTGTGTTGTTGGGCGCGAGCCGCCATTGGTGGCGGAGAAGGGGGAGATGCGGTCGGGGGAGTTGTAGCGGTCTTGTTCGAGGGAGGGGCCGAAGTCCTTGAGTTCCTTCTCGAGGAGCTTGTATTCCTCAAGGCCGCCGCCGTGGCCGCCCTCGCGGAGGCTGAGTTCCTTGGCATGGGCTTCGCGGCGCTGGTGCTCGGAGCTGGGGAGGCCGAGAGCTTGGATACTGCGGTTGTGGTCTTTTTTGATGTTGATAAAGTAGCGCTCCATGCGCTGGATCCAGACGCTCCAGCCGCAGGCCATTTTGGACCTGGGTAGCATGAGATTCAGGGTCTTTATGGCGAGGTCAGTGGCTTCATGCCTGCTGGTGGGGTAGGTGGGGTTGTGGTCCGGGGTTGTGGGCGAGTTGCTCATGTAGGAGTGATTGTCCATCCAAGGGAAATGGACGGCGTAGATGCCGACGAAGGCGGCGGTCCACACGGCGAATCCGACTTGTGGCGACTCTACCATGACCTGTCTGTCGCTAGTAACCCGCACTATATCCATAATGTCGCGAGCGGACTTGAAAATCAACTCGGCGCTCTCGTCCCAGAACCCCTCTGGGATGTCGTATTTCTCCGGTGGAAACGTCGGCTCGTCTAGGGGTCCGGAGGGGCCAGTGCTTCGGATAGGGATGAACGGAATATATTCGCGATGAAGGACAATGTTGCAAAGCGAATAAAGCGTGTGGATGGCCGTGTACAACGTAATGGATTTGCTAGCGATATGTGCGGCGATCTTCGTAGGGCTGAATGTCAGTTTCGGGGGTAAGGACTCGTGGAAAGCTACGAGTTGCTGCCGTAACTTGTAAAATTCGGATCGCTGGTCCCATGGAGGGTATGCTTCCTCCCGCCTACCACCTCTACATGACCATCGCGAGAATCGTCCCCAGATCTCAACCAGTCGGATGTATATGCTCAATACCTGAGTCGACGAAATGGTCCTCGAACCATCCCGGCTGTCAGGCGATCGAGGGGTGTCCTTCAGCGATCCAGTCTTGACATCAACCCCAAACAGGAAATCCTCTTCCGAACAAGGTAATTGCACGTGCAGGTCATCGATATTGATGATTTGTGGCCGGTATCGCCCGGATGCCTGATACCGGTCCAGAATGAAGCAACTATATGCCGTTCTCCGCTTGATCTCGCGCTGGATCAGGGTCTGCTCGTCGGGTGCTGCCCCTGGCTCCGCCACCTTCAATTTCACCCCCAACTGCCGCGCCTCTTCTATCATAGCTGGCTTTTGGTTTATCCGTGAGTCTTCTTCGAACATGAGTCCCATAGTCCGGGCCATCCTATTATTCTGTTAGGAGCGTCTTATGTAGTTCTGTGTATGAACTTACCCAATAGCAATCGTGATGTACATCCAGGCGCGCTGTCCACAGCACATTCCCCAGTGATACAGACTGATCATGAGCAGCCCCTGAACCCTCTCCAATGACGGCTGCCCGGTCAAAGCCGGCGCATCAAGGCGAGCCGCGAACGCTTCGGCATAGAACTCCGATGCCGCAAGAGGGTCAGAGGGCTCGGATTGACTATGGTAAGCCACCAAATGCGGGATAAACCGTGCCGTCAGAGTCAGCATGCCCAACAGAAAGATCTGAGTATCCGCAGACCGCTCCGCAGCAGGCTGATGGACGCGGGTATGGAAGACCTCCTCATGGAGGAACGGCAGCTCGGTCGAGCAGTGCAGCATGAAGGTGGTATACACGTCTTTCCACAGCTTCGCCGTGATCGGCGGGGACTGCAACGGGTCATCGCTATGGCGAAAGCTCTGCTTCCTCACCGCATCCGACTCGCGCTTGCGCACGCGCTTGACATCTCCTCCCTCCCCATCGATCCTCGCCGCGATAGTCGACTCGGGCCGCTTGTTCGCCTGCTGGCTGGCGCTCGGCTCGGGGTATGTGCACTCGCGGCTCTGGTTGGCGCAGGCGCGGCAGACGGTATTCACGCCGTTGTTCTGGCACTTGATCTTGCTGCGGCGGCAGCGGTAGCAGGCGATGCTGGAGCGCATCTTGGGCAGGGGCTTCTTGTCGTCGGGGTCATCGTGCATGTCTACGTGGCGCGGGGCGCCATGCCGCGCGCCGGGCGGTTCGGGGCGGTGTGTGTGGGCGTGGACGGCGGCGGCGGGCGTGCTGTGGGCGTTGGTGTCGTTGGTGGTGTCGCTCAGGCGCCGGCGGATTGGCGACGCCGCCGGGCGATGAGAGAACTCCGTGTCGGCTTCGGGGAAGGCGTCGGCGTGCGGCCGCTTCGGCGTCGATGTCTCTGGGGTGTCGAGTGTTGAGCGGGGCTCGGAGGGCGAGAGTATCGAGGCGATGGAGTGAGGGGAGGGAATTTTGGCGGTTTGGAGGCCCTGCGGGGACCGTCGCTGCCGGTGTTGGTTGTAAGCCTGTTTTGGGGGGGGCATATGTGGTGCGTGGTGAAGGGTGTTGGGATGAGATTGAGCCCAATCGCTTGCGCAGAGGGTCTTGTACGTGTCGAGAGATGTTGGATGACAGCAGATGGTGATGCGAAACCAGGAAGCCTCGTACAAGTTCAATTGTTGGTGGCGGGATCAAATGTCTGGAGGAGGGAGTATTGGTATTGAGGATCCTGGGAAGCGGCGGCCAGTCAGGTTCAGAGCGCACGGGCGACTAGTATAGCAACTATAGTGTGGTGTGGGAGGAAGGAGGGTGCAGCGGGAGAAGGCGCAAAGAAAGGCACACGGCAAAGGGGAATAGCAAAGCGATCAGCGCTTGAATAGAAATGCTCTAGAAACAAGAAATGCCTTTTAGGTTGAAGCGACGGGATAGGAAGAGAGTATAGGGAATCCTATATAGTGCAGAGTATGTGCAGGAGTTGGTGGTCGTAGAGCGGCGGTATAGTGCACGGCGACAACACAGGGCAGTATGTACAGTAGAAGTACTTTCAAGAAGCACCAGAATAATCGCGGGAGGGAGATGTGAGATGTGAGATGAGCGTGTGTGGGTGCGTTAGTAAATGGCGTGCATACATATAGGATGGGATGGGGATGGGATGGGATGGGATGGGATGGGATGGGATGGGATGGGATGGGATGGGATGGGATGGGATGGGATGGGATGGGATGGGATGGGATGGGATGGGATGGGATGGGATGGGATGGGATGGGATGGGGATAGTATGGGGATGGGATGGGGATGGGATAGGGATAGGATAGGGAATACTAATTGGGGGGGATGGGGATGGGATAGGATGGGACAGGATAGGACAGGATAGGACAGGATGGGATGGGGATGGGCTAGGGTTAGTATGGGGATAGTATAGGGATAGGATAGGGATAGGATAGGGATAGGATAGGGATAGGATAGGGATAGGATAGGGATAGGATAGGGATAGTATAGGGATAGGATAGGGATAGGATAGGGAATACTAATTGGGGAATAGTATAGGGATAGGAGGGATAGGATAGAGAATACTAATTGGGGGGGAATAGTATAGGGATAGGAGGGATAGGATAGAGAATACTAATTGGGGGGGGAATAGTATAGGAAGTTGTGCGGGATTGTGTTCTCGGAGAGAGCAAACAACCCTCATACAGCACAATAACTGTAAATGACCAGCCAGACCGGGCGAATTCTAGCCATCGCGCGCGCGGTGGTCCTGAGGAAACGGCAGGATGGGACAGTCCAGTCGGCTCTATCCAACCGCCCTCGAGCCGATGGGGTGGTGGTGGGACGGCGGCGGGACGGACGGGACTGCAACTGGACTTGCTCAGGCGGGGCGATTCAGATGTTCAGTACCGACCGATTCCCACCCACTCAACTCGGCGGTGGTGGATCTCATCCAGCCCATCGCCAGCGCGCGGTTACGATCTGAAACACGGCAGCATAAAGTCGCAGTCCTCTTCCATTCTAGCATCCCTCCCCCATCTAGCCCTTCCTTATCGAAATCACTCTCACTTCCGCTGCCACTGCCACTCCCTCAGCCACTCCCACCCACCCCCTCACCCACCTCCCTCACCCACTCCCTTCCCTCACCCACTCCCTTCCCTCACCCACTCCCTTCCCTCACCCACCCCCTTCCCTCACCCACCCCCTTCCCTCACCCACCCCCTTCGTACCATCTATATCAGTAAATACGACCACTCCCCCCACCACGCGGCGGTCTGACCCGTCCGCCCCAGCACCTACCACCCAGCCAGCTCTCACCAAGCGCCCCGCCGGGCCCGCATCAGTAAAACAAAACACGGCACGAGATGACCAGCTCGCAAACCAAACCACACACCTCGGCTAGCGGCAGCACAGTCCTGCTCCCTGCTCCCGAAAGGGGGTGTGGTGTGGTCGTACGATTAGCACAGGGTGGAGGGTGGAGGGTGGAGGGTGGAGGTGGAGGAGGTGGAGGAGGTGGAGCGTGGAGGTGGATGGTGGAGCGTGGGGGGTTCATCACGGATCACGGCGGGTGTGTGTGGTGCTTGCCGGTGCCGATGCCGGTTGGATTCGGTGGGATTCGGTGGTGGGATTCGGTGGTGGGGTTGGGGATGGGTAAATGGTGAGGGCTGATCGCGGGGAGCGGATAGGGGCAGGAGGGTAAGTTAGGGAGACTGAGGGGTGATGCCAGATCTTGACCAGTCACGTGATATGTGGCCACATCCCGCGGCGGACGGCCCAATATATCGCCTGCGCTCGTGTTCTCGTCTCATCTCCGCTCCGCTCCGCTGCGTTGCATTCACCCCCACCATGCACGTGGCCAGAAGTGGTCTGGGAATGCTTAGCAGCTGGCTGGTGGTATTGAGTGTACCTGACTGACTGACCCAGCGCGTCTTCTCCCCGCCTTCGTTTCTTATTCCGCGGCTTCCCAAGGCTAGACAGACATCCACTCACTCCACTCACCCTCCAAGCCCCCCATCCCTCCCCCATCCCTCCCCCATCCCTCCCCCATCCCTCCCCCATCCCTCCCCCATCCCTCCCCCATCCCTCCCCCATCCCTCCCCCATCCCTCCCCCATCCCTCCACACAGCGCCACAGCATCATTCCCCCAAGCGCTGAGAGGCGGTGCTGGGGGATGGATGGGGGATATGTTATGTTATTTGTCACCCGCGCCGCGAGGGACGGGGCGGTATGGTGGGAGGGTGGGAGCACGGGGGTCTAGAACTGTGTCGTGTGCCATGGCGCCGCCGACGCTGCCGGATGCATCGACGCTTGCAGGAGGCGGGGGCGTCATGTACGCCCTTTGGCGACGGGGGGTAACTTTGAGAGCTGTTGTTGCGTGGGAAGTGGCCAGTCAGAGACCGTGGGGGAGAGCTGGTTGTTGACGCGCTTTGCGCTTATATGGTATGGTATGGGCTTCTATGGGTGGTAGAGGTGTTGGATGTCCCTGGAGCTTGTGGTTCCAACTTCTCTTTTGGCAGATTGATTAGTGATTCCTCGAGTAGACTACGACTCCTATAAAGTGGAGGAAGATGAGGATGAGGAGGAGGAGAGGAGGTACAGTACAGTATCGTAGAGTACAGTATTGTACATTTCTGTATTATACATTACACATATATGTACCCATCGGGGAAGCTTATAGAAGCAGAAGCTCACCATCCCCCCTTCCTCCCCTTCCCCCCCTTCCCCCTCCCCCTCATAAACCCCCCACGCCAGGCGCCAAATACTAGACCAAAAACAAACCAACGCCCTCCTCCTCGAGCCAGGCGCAGCAGCTACCCTCCTAGGTTTATCCAACGTTTTGCCATTTGTGACTTCCTTCGTTCCCCCCACAAATAAACCCAGCTTTGGTAGCTTTGGGCAAGCTATGTCATCGGCGGTTCCGGGAAATATTATGGGCTGATCGTTATGCTGATTACGAAGTTTCCCCTATACAAAGACTACAAGAACTCCACCGAAACCCCATCTCCCGCTTGCTTTGATTCCTCAGCAGCTGCCAGTGTACTGGAAGTACTGTTGTGCTATATAATACTATAATGGAACTATACCGCACTTTACTGTACTATACCACAATGCATGTATGACTATTCCCGCATAGTACGTAAGGTGCAGCTCACAGGTTATCATCACCAGTGCACTTCACTTCCTACTCGGCGTAAGTCATGCACTGTATGTACATATAAAGTGGCAACTACCGTAAATACCTCACGAACGTTCATAGTTCTATACTTTCTATTCACTCAAACCTCCCCTGTCTCTCACCCCCCGATCCCCAGTTCCGCCGATCTACTTAAATTCAACGTGACAGATCACTAGACCAGGATATATACTGTCTAGCCCTTGAGAGGTGCACCATTACGTTCCTGCATACCCTTTCCCCTTCTCTCCTTCTTTCCCCCCATTCTCCCAAGAAAACCAACTCACTTATCCTCAAGATGACCAACTCAACAACCCCTCCCCCAGATGTCGTCGACTTGGACAAATTCCACACCCATGACGATCCTCGCCACACAAGGCTGACAACACCCAGCAAGGCTACCCTCCCCCCCGCCACCCCGCCAAGCCCCGCCCAGAGCACCCTCGACTTCATCGACATAATCGATATCCGCCGCGACGCCCTCGGGTCCTCGCTCGATCTCGGGCGCGACATAATGGCGCAGCTGGCGCCGGCGCGGGGGCCGAAGAAAATGCCTACGTTGCTGTTGTATGATGAGAAGGGGCTGCAGACGTTTGAGGAGGTGGGTTGGGGCGGTCCCTTGTCCCCTGTTATCGTCGACCCTGGGCGGTAAGTGGCGTGATGGTTGAGGGTGGTTGCTAATTGGTTTTGTGGGGTGCAGATTACGTATTTGGAGGAGTATTATTTGACGAATGCCGAAATCGAGGTTTTGGAGAGGAATGCGGAGGAGATGGCGAGGAATATACAGGCTGAGTCTATGGTTATTGAGCTTGGTAGTGGGTGAGTTGAGTTGTTGGTTGGCTTCCCCAGCTTAGGCCAGGGGAGGAATAATATGAAAAGAGTGTGCATACTGACCTAATAACAGGAACCTGAGGAAAGTAAGCATACTGCTTAACGCCCTTGAGAAAGCGGAGAAGTCAATCCATTACTACGCCTTGGATTTGTCCAAGAGGGAACTCGAGAGGACGTTAAGCTCGGTACCAAGGTTCGAGCATGTCGTGTGTCATGGTCTGCTGGGGACGTATGATGATGGGCTGGAGTGGATTCGGTCAGGGTGTAATGCCTCGTGGCCGAAGTGTATTATGTCTCTCGGGTCGAGTATTGGTGAGTATGCTCCTTGTTTCCCAGTTATCAGTTATTAATGTTGGCAGGTAACTTCAACCGGGGCGATGCGGCGGAGTTTCTCAAGGGATTTGCGGATATGCTCAGGCCCAGTGATTCAATGATTATTGGGCTGGACGCGTGTAATGATCCGGCTAAAGTATAGTAAGTTTATTCTCATATGTTGTTTTGATCTGGTGGCTAACTTGTGTCTCTAGTCATGCGTACAATGGTGAGAATTCCAGATCTGTGTAGTAATTATTTCTAACAATTTTTTTAAGATTCTCTGGGCATAACACACAAGTAATATCCCCTAATCGTCTTCTTCTGGTAGTCATAAAGCTAATATGACAATAGATTTATCCTGAACGGACTCGACAACGCCAACAGCATACTGGGTGAGAACGTCTTCGACACAAATGACTGGGAAGTCATTGGTGAGTACGTCTGTGACAAGGACGGTGGAAGGCACCGAGCGTTCTATGCTCCAAAGAGGGATATTACTATCCGTGGTGTTTTTATCGAGCAAGGTGAGCGCGTGCAGGTTGAGCAGAGCTTAAAGTACTCGCAGGCCGAGAGTGAGGGTATGTGGGCGGCTGCTGGGCTCAAGGAGGTTGGAAAGTGGGGGGCTACCAAAGAGCAATATAGTAAGTTTGTCCCAAATCTTCTTACCCCATCGTATTTAATGCTACTCGAGCCATACCAGAAGTTTCTGGTAATAGTTTCAAGTACTCGAGATATTATATTGCTTAATTACAATTTTATTATCCTTAATTATAAACCCATCCATTCTAACCCTCCATCCCAACAGACATCCACATGCTCACCAAACGTGCCAAACCCTTCCAACTCCACCCCTCCCAATACGCCCTCACCCCCACCCCCACCCTCGAAGACTGGCGCGGCCTCTGGTCTACCTGGAACACCGTCGCGCGCGGCATGATCCCCAACAACGAGCTCCTCGCCAAACCCATCAAGCTGCGCAATGCATGCATCTTCTACCTCGGCCACATCCCCACCTTCCTGGACCTTCAACTCAGCAAGGCCACCGGGGTGCCCTTGTGCGAGCCCTCGCACTATCCACAGATCTTTGAGCGCGGGATTGATCCGGATGTGGATAATCCGGATAATTGCCACGCCCACTCCGAGATCCCGGATCAGTGGCCGCCGGTGGAGGAGATCCTGGAGTATCAGGCGCAGGTGAGGAGGAAGGTGGAGGGGTTGTATGCGTCGGGTGTGCCTGAGGCGTCGAGGAAGGTGGGGAGGTCGTTGTGGATTGGGCTTGAGCATGAGATTATGCATCTGGAGACGCTGCTGTATATGCTTCTGCAGTCGGATAACTGCATGCCACCTCCGCGCACCGTTAAGCCTGATTTTGAGGAACAGGCGAGGAGGGATGCGGAGAGAGAGGTGGAGAATCAGTGGTTTACGATTCCGGAGCAGGATATTGCGCTGGGTCTTGATGATCCGGAGGATAATTCGGGGGATGGGCATTTTGGGTGGTATGTTTCTTCAGAGCCGTGTCGGAAATGGGTTTACTGACATTAGGGGTAGGGATAACGAGAAGCCCGTGAGAAAGGCGCATGTGCGGTCGTTTCAGGCGAAGGGACGGCCGATTACGAATGAAGAGGTATGTATGATGATGTTGCATTTGAGTATAGTTCTAACATGACGGTGTGTAGTATGCTATTTATCTCGATGCTACGGATAACGAAAACCTGCCTGCTTCGTGGACGAGACAGCATGCCAATGGAGATCTGTCAGCTCATACACCTAATGGCAATACAAATGGCTATACGAACGGGAATGGGCATACTAATGGAAATGGCCTAACCAATGGAAATGGTCACACCGATGGGAGTGGCCACACCAACGGCAACGGTTATCTTTCTAACGGCTACACCAATGGCCTCACTAAGCTCCACCCCTCCTACATCTCCAACATCCTCGTGCGCACAGTCTACGGCCCCGTATCCCTCGCGCACGCACTCCACTGGCCCGTCAGCGCATGTTATGATGAGCTAAGGCGCTGCGCGAAGTGGATGGGAGGACGCATTCCGACAGTCGAGGAGGCGAGGAGTATTTACAGTTACGTCGATGAGCGGAGGCTGAAGGAGGTGCGGAATGCAAGGAGGGTGCCGGCTGTTAATGCGTATGTTACCCCTTTCCCCTACTGAGCCCCTATTTCAGAATTTTGGGCACCAAGCTAACTCTCCAAAGACACCTCGTAAACAACGGCGTCGAGGAGAGCCCGCCCCTCCGCGACCCCGCCGGCTCCCCCGCCAACCCCCATTCCGCGCTCTTCACGGACCTCGAAGGCGCCAATGTGGGGTTCAAGCACTGGCACCCTGTGGCCGTGACGGCGGATGGGGATAAGTTGGCGGGGCAGGGGGAGATGGGGGGGGTGTGGGAGTGGACGAGCTCGGTGCTGGAGAGGCATGAGGGGTTTAGGGAGATGGAGTTGTATCCGGCGTATAGTGGTGAGTAATTCCGAACTATGATCTCGGCGTTGTGGTGGGGTGGGGTGAGGGATAATGGCTAATTTTGTGTGCAGAGGATTTCTTCGATGGGAAGCATAACGTCGTGCTTGGTGGGTCGTGGGCGACGCATCCGAGGATTGCGGGGAGGAAGAGTTTGTGAGTTCCTCCACCTCCATTTATCCCATACAACGGGTGAATAGAACATATTACTGACATTCCATTTCAGCATAAACTGGTACCAGCGAAACTACCCCTACGTCTGGGCCGGCGCGCGTCTCGTTCGGGACATCTGATCAATCACTCAATCGATTCATGGGCGGCTGGCTCCTTATTTTCCGTTGCTGGGACTGGAGGGAAAAGCGTTTGGAACCGGAAAAATGCAAAGGGGCTGGCTGGGCTGGGTAACTGTTTTATTGCTTTTGCTTTCGATGCGTTGGTTTCTTGAAACTTGTTGGAGGGGTAGGTAATGTTTTATTGTTTCGATGCTTCGATGATTTGGCTTTGAAACGTGGGGGAGGGGGTAATTTGTGGTGGGGAGGTATGGCTTGATGCTAATTGCTGAGTTTAAGCTATTTATGAGTGTTGAAATCGATGATTTATTTGTATGCCGCCTTCTGGCGAGCTGTGGTGCTGTTTTTGTGTGATTATCTCTTGCTTCAGGGGTTCATTCCTCCTAGATACTGGATGGTTCTATTGTGTGAGTAGATGGACGTGTCTGTGAGGCTGTGCCATTGCTTCGCGTGGTGGTTGGTTCTGATACAGTAAGTCGATTGGACTTGCATTGTTTTGGCTGGGTAATTTATTTGGCTACAGAAAGGACCTACGCAGATTTCTCATTTTGTTTCCAGGCGAGTCCTTCAGGAGTCCTGAAACTTGTCTCGAGATGCATTTATCGAGTCTCTGGTGTCTTATTTGTTTGAAGATGCCTCCTGTGTCAGCTCCATTGATTAAATATAGGTGGCCCCCTTTTACTTTTGAAGACATCTTTTCCCTCGGAATGTATGATCCAGTTGGAATGGTATAATTACAACACCTGTCTTTGCCCCGTATCTCCAGGCCAGCACTGGAATTTGTAAGGTAGGGCGAGTCTTGCTGTGGATCTAAGCTGTGATAGATTTATCCCCTGAATCTCGCCACACGATCTCGTCAGGTACCTTCAATTTGTTATTATTTGACAGGTATTCACTTCCCCGTGCTTATTTCTAGCGTTGCCACGGCATTGCAAGTCTATAAGCATACAAACGCCGTACCTCTTGTCACTGTCCCCATACAAGGAACAACCTCAGCTTACTTCACGACACGGAGTCCACAACCAACAACAATCTTTCCTATTTCTTTGCACACTCGTTACCTCTATCAAGGACTCAAGTCCATCAATGATCATTTAGTTCTATTGCTTTGCTTTGTATCTGAAAGATCTTTCTCTAGCTGTTTCTTGCTTGTTATTTGCATTGACACATCACTGTCTATCCACGAATCGGCCATAACAATGGGTTCAATGGCTTTTGATCTATATAACTTCAAGTGGGAGGCCTCCCCTGGTCTTGGTATGTTTGATATTCTTCATATGTTTGTTCGGATCCTGGGTCTTTTACTAACTGATACAGAGCATCATTGTGGGATTTGCAGCAAGGGGCTGTCAAGTATGGATCCTTCCCAATTCAAGAATTCCGATCTTGGACTGACTGCTTTTAGATCCTCGATCTGTCAACTCTTGCATCGGCGTCCACTGTGAGCCATGCAGACGGTATCACCAACAGCTACATTTCATTCGTGAGTCGACTGCTTTTGGCTTTGCATTTGGATGGCGCTTGCTAACCCACATGTTCTACAGAAAAGGCACACGAATGCAAAAGGTATGCAATTGAGCCTTGTCATCATCTTCTGCAAGTGCTGACCTATGCATAGCTGTATAAGAGCGGATGAGATGCATCACCGCCGGCATAGATCTATCGCCAAGCTTGTCAAAGATATTGAAGCCCACGATAGGGAGGTAGCCACCCGGGCAATCAGAACAAAGACCAAGAGCGCCAGGGCCACTCCAGGAATAGGCCACGACGAGTATATCTGGCAAGGTGGTATGTCTAAAACTGCCAACGACAACGTCGAAAATTTGGACCCTACCAAATCTGTCAACGATGAAGAACCAGATTACGACGATGCGTATGATGATGATGTCTTTGGTGAAAGAGAGACTGAACCGTTCATCACCATGCCTAACTCAACCACTCATATACCTACCCCATCGACCCCGAAGCCATGCTCTTCTATATCCTCGTTCGGCTACGAGTCATCTCCAGTGATTTCAGCGAAGAAAAAAGACCTCAAAAAAGCTCGCCGGACAGCACGATTGACCAACAATAACTCCCAGAGCATTGTCAGCAATGATTTTCTGGAGTTCATTGCCGAAGCTCTACATGGAAGCAAGATCATGGATATTAGCCGCGCAATGTTCGAAGAAGAAGGCGAGGAGATTGGAGCAAACCAGTTCAAGAATGAGGACCTAATGCGGGAGAACCTCGGATTCCAGACATTCACACGGAACTCCTCGGATGTCCGACACATAAAAGACAGATGGAGGAAGCTGGGCCCTGGTGGGAAAGCGCAAGAGCTCGCAGGACCACCCCCAACTGCACCTGGATTCCCGAAACCGAAGTTCATCAACATTAACGAGACGACTCGATTTGACGTCAACTTCTTTGCCCGTCTTGGGGTTAAATATGAGAGCAAGGGCGACACTAGCAGAGCACGGAGCGAGATTGTTCTTAAGCTCGCAATTAAAATTCTGGAAGACATGACCATCATCGGCCGTGAAGAGTACGAGACGCAGATTCGAGAGGCCGGTTTCTGGCGGTTCATAAGCCGTGCAGCAGCTGAAAATCTCCAGCAAGGCCATCAGGATTTTAGCTGGGCAACTGGTGAATTCAGGAAGAGAAGGAGACCGGGTATGTTGTCTGACGGCAATGCAGAGACTGGGCTCGGGATTAATGCTACGGGTGAGCCTGGGCTCGGGGCTGGAGATGAACTAGGGGAAGTAATCCAAGACAATGAAAACGATTCTTCAGATGATAGTGTTCCGGGGACACCGTCTTTAGTGGGATCGGCCTTTGAAACCCAAGCCGAAGAGGAGAAGGAAACTCCACAGATGAAAACACCACTGGTCCTGAAATTCTCAAACTTTGACAGTGGCAAGAAAGAGCTCCTATGGAGCGCCACACCATCGAAAGTTTTTTCCTCTCCCAAGATTCTGCCTTTGGTCGAGCCTAAAGCTTTGTCCACCCCTAAAGTCTCGTCGCAGCCCAAACTTTTGTCGCCACCTGAAGTCTTGTTCTCGCCCAAACTTTCTTTCTCCCCCAAAGTTTCATCCACGGCCCAAGCTTCTTTCTCCCCCAAAGCTTCGTCTATGTCGAAAGCTTTGCTCTCGCCCAAAGTTTCACCTTCGCCCAAAACTCTGGCCCCACCTTCAGCGTGGTCATCACTCAAACAAAAAAAGATGAGACCAACCACGCCGATAGCGAATCATGGCAATCAGAAGCATCCTGACGCAATGAACTCCTTCCGTCTAGTAAAGGTTGAGAAGAAGCATGTGGCCGTGCAGTTGAAACACGAATCTCCTTGCAAGCTTTGCGGAGACCAGTCAGCCCCAACCTCAGATCCTGCGCTGCTTGAAACCGATGATGAAGATATTTGGGAGGTGGTACGTCCATCTCTGCCAAATGTCAGAGCGAAAAATCCGTACGATCTCCTCAGCACTGTCGAAGAGGGCAGCGACAAGGAGGATTCTTCCAGTGAAGAAGGCAGCGGAGAAAACTAACCTACAGTACCCCTGTTCTCAACAATTTCAACCGTCACCAACAGACAAATCCGTGTCCACCAAGTTTGCATCGTCTCTCTCTAGTTTCATTTTGCTTCATACCAGTTTGCTTCATTGCTTTTGCATGCCATAGGCCGCGACAAGGGAACATACATCCATCTCCGCTCTTTCACTAATCGACATGAGCAAGCGCTCAGGAACAAACAAATAAGCCGCATTTCACACCTTCACACTGTACCATCATGTTAGAATTATTGTTTCATTTACTTCCTTCTTTCAACGCTTTTGCCCATGCCTCTACATCTCAGAAACTGCGCATTCCACCAGCCACCAAACCAGCATCAGAGCCATCGCCATTCTCTCTACACCATCGCCCTTCAATGGTCCACAGACTCAGCAATTCGCCAGCTGACAGCTTCACAGGGCTACTAACAAGGTTTCCTTTTCTCTGGGCTACAATAAAGAGGAGGGTTGTGCTGGTGAGGCCATTTGAGGCAGTATCATTTTGATTGAGAACGCTAGTACCACTTCATTACAAGACAATACACTATGTAACCATTATCCATTGAAGTCCACTTCCGCAGCATGGAAAACAATTAACTTGCTCCCCTTAACTTGCTCCCCGTATCTTTTCAGTGTGGTATCCCCGAACGCCTCCATTGTCATTGCCTTCCTTCCAAGCCCATGTCTCCATGCCTATTCAATCTTCCCATCATGGATCTCATATAAGATACTCCCACCCCAAGATAATGCAGATCCCCTCCCTCTGATAACAATAAAGTAATAAGAATGAAAACCCCGCCTTCCTTCTAGGCGCCCCCGGATTTTCCAGCACTGCATTAAGCACAACTAACCGCCCAAACCAGCTTCCAAATATCAAATCGCACCTCCCAGTAAAGAGACGTCATAAATAACCATATATCTTCGTTAATACAGCTCCTCCAGCTCTCTCTCCTTGGCCCGCAAATCTTCTCTCATCCTCTCCGCCTCAAGCTGCAACATCTCCCTCCTTTCTCTCTTCCGTCTCTCTCTATCCGCATCCGCTTCGGTATCGTTGCCCGTCTGTGCCACACTTGCAGGCCTATCTCTCGGGTTCCGGCTTTGCCGCAGACTCGGGTCCAGCGCCTCTTCGCTCGCCTGCTGCGCCGGGTTCAAGATAGCCTTGATGCTAGAAAGACGTCCTTGGCTCTGGTCGCCAGCTAGCGCAGCCTCACTTTCAGCCGTTGAGAAGGAGCGCTTGCGATTAGGTGACAAGAGAAAATTCGGCGATAGGGACGAGGGGCGATGGTTCCGCAACGGATACGCCGCTATGGGCGGTAGCCGATTATCAGTTGTCAGGCTCGAAGGATCGTGTTGCGCGTGGGCGTGCGGATTTGACGCATACGACGTGAGATCACTGGCTGTGGTAGGCTGCTGCTGCTGTCCGTTCAGGCCACGGAGGGTGCTGGCGAGTTCGGGGAGGTTGCGGGATGGCTCAGAGCGTCTCCTAAAACCGAGACTCACTGAACCGTCGGGGTTAAGGGCTCCCTTTGGCGCGGCTTCGTCGTTGGGAAGGTTGTAGTCGTCGGATTCGGGGGACACGGCTGTGCGTGGGGATCCCATTTCGTAGTTCATGCCACCGGCTGCGGCGGGGACTACACGCTTGCGGCGTTTGATTACTGACTTCTTCATCGTGACGGGTCTGTGGACGCCATGAAGTTTGTAATATAAGCCTGTGATATATTAGTTACTGTTCACTTTGTTCTTTTGAATACAACTCACCACATGCGTTGCATATCGTATGCCCGCTTTCGTCGCGACGCCAGAGCGGGGTAATCGTAGTCCCACAGTTCTGGCAAGCAACAATGACAGTTGTACCCACATGGAGCGCATTGATATCAGTCTCTGCGGTAGGGTCGGCCGCAGGGTCGTTCGGCGGCTGTGAGGACCCCTGGCCAGACCGGACAAGGGTGACATTCGCGGTCTTCGAAATGCGGTTGTTGAAGGCGGGACAACCTCCACAGCCTGATGCGCCACCAGTCCCATTGCACTTCCCACCGCCTGGGCATGAGCCGCCAGAAGTCTGATCGGCAGTCACATACGTTGCAGTCGCGGTTGAATAATTGGTCGGCGCATATCCTGGTGATGCCCTCTTCTGTTCTCGGTTTTGGCTGGCAGCAGATGTGTTCGCACCATGCGCCTTCTTCATCATAGTGGGCCTAGATGCATTGCGGGCCTTTTGGTATAGACCACACGCATTGCATATGGTTGCGCCTTGAGGTGACCTCCTCCAAAGGGGCGTGCTCGTGGTGCCGCAGTTGCTACTCGGGAGTTAGTACAGAGTAGAGACATATGGTTGCGCCTTGAGGTGACCTCCTCCAAAGGGGCGTGCTCGTGGTGCCGCAGTTGCTGTTCTTACCTGCAGATCTGCCCATTGGGAATGTTATCCGGGTTGATGATTGCCTGGGGAGAGTATGGTCCCTCCTGCTGTTTGCGCTCAGCTGCTGTTGGCGTGGGTGTCGGTAGCTGCTGGCGGGTGTATGAATCCTGGGCATGGTTCGACCCATTGGTCGGCGAATGGTCATTCTCATGCTTGCCGTTCGCTGTCCTATCCCTGTTTTCGCGCAGCCCTTGCGAGTGATCCACAAGCTGCTCTGCTAACTCGATATCGTCTTTCGACAACGCTCTTGTTGGGAGAGACGTATGCGCGGGTTGCTTTTCGTGCCGCGAGGGCGCTGAGGCTATGATTGCTGTGTCTGTCATGGTGTTCGTTTTATGCCTCCTTCATGCCCTGGGCGAAAGATGCGGGTTTTGCTGTCTTGCCTCTTCGCCACCAGTAGTTCCGATTGTCGCTTTGTGTCCCGTCGCAGGGTGTCTCAATCTCCAGTCTTCCTGATTGTACTCGACCAGGAGAGTCGCCGATAAGGATCCTGCTTGGGCGTCTTCCGTCTGGCGTCCAGCTTATCAGATCTTCGTCCAGTCTGCTAAAGATGTCCGAGGATGTTTGCTGACTGAGGATGGCGACAGGCCTTCATTCATGGGTGGTGATAATCACGGGATCTCGCCCACCTGTTGCCAGTGATGCCTTGAGAACGGTAGCCAATCGGCCACTCCCCATTGGCCGAATGCTGAAGAGTTTCAAATAGAATCTATTTAATTGGTCGTAATACGACGATATTTATTTTGCTAGAGCGATATCGAATTTAAGCTTTATGGATTAATGCTGTTTTAAGAGCAAAGTGGTAACAGACTAACTCGATATGGTAAGTGAAACCCGTTTATGGAGCCCCCCTTTGGATCATATCTAATCATATCTGGTGTCACAAGATTTCATCTCAATCTTGGTCGTAATCTGGGTGCCTGAGGGATCTATTTTAGTAATTTGGTGATTTGGTAATACAGTCACATGACGGGGCTGATCCAAATCGCCGAAAGGAGATACTAGCGCGCGTCATCAGCCAAGCGTCATTTCCGACCTCCTCGTCAACATCCATTACGACACTTACAGGCAACAGCATTTCAAGTCCAACTTCATCTATTTGTATATAACCCGCGGTGCTCGACCCGACGATTCTACTTTTAACGTCATCCCCTCGCTCAATAACCCTAAGCCTCACGATGGATTTCTCTGACATCTTGTATGTTGCCCTTTACTGCTCTGCGCCCCAACAGGAACACAGCAATCTATCCGTCTCAGGGCTGGCAGAGCATGGCTAACACTTGCTATCTAGCCGCATTGTTAACCTGGCGATTGGTGCGCTCATGATCGCTGGTGGAATTTCGCAGTTCTTCGGCGCCACAGTGTAAGCTCTTTGTCGAAGCCCCCCTCCAGGACTCAACCTAATGCCCCCCAGACAATCGATTATCATCGGTGTTTATGTAATTATTTTTGGACTTGGTACGCCCCGGCTCTTCCCCACAATCCGAGGATGGACCGCTAACTTTCCCCAGCCATTGGCGCATTGGAATTCCAGATCCCACCCCAGGTCTCGCGGTACGCCTCGTTCCTGTTCTCGTTCCTGGGACGCGGAATCTGTAAGTCAATACTCTTTGTTCGGCAGCGCGAGAAAGAAGCTGACATGGGACAGTCTACATCTTCATCGGAACCATCCTCTTCCACGACCACATTCTCCGTTACATCATTGGTTCGATTGTTGGCCTGGTTGGATTGGGATACGCCGTCCTCGAATTTATCCCATCGATTGAGCCGCCTGCCAACATGCGCGAGGCGGATGCCGGGTGGGGCGCAGAGCAGGTCTAGGCTGTCCTTGGCATATGCAAACCTCAAATCCAATGCTTCGATTAAGCCACGGACAAATACAAAACGACGCGGTGCTGGAAACGCTCGCTATGAGAGTGAGGTTCAGGGGGTGAAAGAACTGCGCTGGATGCACATACAACGAGTATGGGACTATGTGAGGATATGATATGGTGTTGGAACTTGTGTTAACAATTATGATTGTATTATTTGCGAGATGCCAGGATAGCTTTCGAGTATTTAGATTTACGGATCGTCTCCGGGAGCGGAGATCGCTGATATAGTTTATGACTGTTGTGAATAATGATAGTATCAATTTAAAAATCCGCCGGCATAGCCACATCGGGGATTTAACTAAGAGCAAGTGCACAGCGCCTGGTAGAGATGCTTACTAGGTCTTCTGCGTCAGAGGCTGAGGGAGCTTGATGCTCTACCAGACACTATGAACTTGCTTTTCTGCGTTTGGAGCCTAAGCTTGTTACTCTACCAGTTGTCTTTTTTGTGCTTTTCTTTGGTAATGTTGAAGGCGGAGTATATCATTTTGCCTAACGATAACTGTCTTTCATATCGTTCCTAGTGATGTGCAGATGGACCATGATCTAACAAGTATGATAATATATTTCACATATTCCATTTAAATATTGTTATCATGATAACCAATTGACGTCTCGCTAGAGTGTACATGCCTGTAATAGAGAATTACCACTTACTTCACCAAATATAAAGAGGAGAACATAATGTAATGGCATATAAGAAGCACATGTAACGTGGACTTTTAATAGCTGGCGCCGCCCATCTAAAGTGTTACGGAAGGCGCACTCGCTTCCCCCCACGGTTAATGAGTTCTTCACCTCCAACCCAAGCATTTTACTACCTTACTCCATTTCTCACGATAATAACTTTCCCGAAATTTGGGCAGAAGAACGTTCCTTGCTCGTTTAGTGTCGCCATCTGCAGTGTACTAGTATTGAGCCAATCCTTTGGCACGGAGAAATGCCTTTTCACGTCACTAGAACTTGCGTCAATCTCCCAAGTGCAAAGCCAATAGTCCTTGTTCGAGGAACACAATCCGGTCTTGAAAGGTCCTATCAATCTTTTGACTTGGCAAGATAGCTCCACTTTCCAGGAATGGCTGAGCGACGACGTCGCGAGTATCGATATCTGCAGGCTCTCAGATGACTGGGAGGAGACAACCTCGTAGACAAGATTCCTCCCATCGTTCGTCAAGGTGAGTCTCCTAACAGTTCCGTTGGGCTCGTTAGGCGGCCCAACTTCTGTCGACGGTGGGTGGCTAGAATCACTGCATTCTAGTGTCGTCCATTATCGATAAATTGAAGGTGGATGCTGCAGCAGATTCCTGCCAAATTTTCCGACAACGTGAATAAAGTCATTTGCCCATGACTCGAACACGTTTGCAGTATTGTCTTTTGGCGGCTCACGCAGACTGAACAAGTTGTTGTTAAGATCAACGTTTGAACCCCACGATCTTTTTTTGGCGTATGCTTTAAGATATTGGGCAGTCGTTGTCAGGTATCTCAAATTTCCCAACACAGCAATAGCCTCAATCCAAGCCAATGAATACTTATTCAAGAATGTTTCTAGAAGTTCGGCCACCGTGAGAGGCCTCCAACGCAGATTGCCCAGGTTAAGATTCTCTTCGCCATAAGTTGAAGCCTTGGCGACTGATGCTTGACTGTGTCGAGCATTTGTTGATATAATGACTCCATCCCTTTTGGCACTTCAGTTAATACGTTCTTCCTTTGTGTGCCATTTATCCTGTAGTGTTTCGAGCACCACTTTTACCCAGAGAAATGACCCGGAAGCCTTCGCCAAAACTTGATTGATAATATCTCCTTGAAACTCCGGGTCATCTGGTAGAGCACTGCTCACTACTTTGTGGACGTAAGTGAGGATATCATCAGCAGTATCTTCTTCGTGGAGGAAAAATGTCGTCAGAGAATTCGCAGTTGATGTTGACGGTATCTTCATAGGTCGGCTCGTCAGGAATAGTTTAATAGGAACTAATGATTGTATCTTCATTATATATCCAACAAGATCTTCCGATTCTGCTTCGTCTATCCCATCCAGGACAAGAAAAGTGGCTTTCGGAGCTTCTTCTTAAACAATATGCCTTCAAACACTTTCTCCCATATCAGGTTGAAGCTCTGCGTCTGCGAATTAAATTGAATGCCAGAATCCTCGACTAACGCAGAAAGCTTTTCTCGAAATGCATCGTTTGTCTGCGCCAGTTGAAATGCTATAGACCGTAGGCAGTATGCTGCCGTTCGCTTTAATCGGTGGCCCGAGGAGAAGAAATGATAAGCACACTCCTGGTCGTGAAATTTAAGATGCTCAATCACGCTTCTTGACAAAGCAGTTTTGCCTGTAGCAGGAAGACCAACGAGCCAGAAAATGTTCGGTGACACAGAAGGTGCTGATTCAAGCCAGTTTACAAATCCCTGTCTTGTAATTATCCATTGGCAAGTTCCGTCGAGAGTCTTGTTCCGCAGCAGCGTAAGATCAGTCTCGGCCGAGCCTCGAATTCCGAGGACTACTTCCAATTGCTTAAGGTCAATATTTCTCGTCTGCCGATGCTTGGTAGTATCAGGCCGCGACTTTCGAAGCCTAGACGCCCAGTGCTTCAGTATGTTCTCACGGTAACGTAGTTTGCATCCACCGGGCTCTCAAACTTGCAAATGCTGTGGTGATCTGCATTTAAAGGCATCGACGTTTCTTGGGGATACCCGAGTATTCCAGACTCTTTTTCGACGATCTTTATAAGACGGTTAGAATATTCATGTGATTGTGGGGGAAAGGATGGCCGTAACGTACAATAACTTTCGTGATGCCGAGTTGCAGTTCCTCCCAATAAATGCGAAACTGCTCATTTATATCTTGTAGTGAACTTGACTGAGTATCGAGTTCGGCAACATAGGCTTTGGGTGCCGTTACAAGGGGACATGTGGACAAGATATTATTCAACACCTTGGCATATTGGGCGCCGCGATGAGGCGTTGCTAGGAACAAATTTCCATACACTTGAGCAATGAGACCTGAGTATTGTTTGTCGTGCTTTCCAAGAACGTAGGCCTTCTTAACCACTAGCCCTCCCATTGAATGTGCCACAAAAATGATTGGCTTTGATCCAATGGATATGCGGTCTTCTGCTCCATCGGGACACCGCCCGAAAATGTTAACATTGAAAAGAGTAAGTCCTTTGCAAAATCAATTGTATTCAAGTTAGTGGCAGTGACCTTAAAATTGGAGTTGTACCCGAACGAGAATACCCGATAAGGAGACAGTTCTTCCTCGTCGACTAACCAGGCTGGCCAAAAGTGGGCGACATCTCTCTTCCAGCTCCATGTCCTCAACGCTGGTCCACCAAGCCCGTGAACGAAAATTATATCTCCAGCAGGCTCAGAATTGTCACAAAGAAGCTGGAGCCCTAAAATATCAGGGGCTTCATTATGGGAGGAGATGGCAACTTGACTGCTAGAACGGGTAAATGTTGAATCTGCGACAGAGTTGTGCCTTCCTAACTGCCTCTGGTCCAAACGGGAAGTCCATGGGAGCCGCATCACTTTTTCCTCGGGCCCTGAAGAGTTGCGGACTTGTGGTTAAGATACCACTAGTAGCGTTCAAATCTCGGTCCAAGTTGCTGAGTTCTGAGAGCGTCTCATTTTCTGAGTTTCGTTGGCGGGAGCCGATAAGGGCAATTTTGCGCATCTGTGTTCGCTCTAGTAAGCTCTCACTCAAGATATTGCCACCCTTCAAAAAGGACAGGAAATTGGAGAATGTTTTGGCTAACCATATCTCCCATCTCTCAGGTAAGACGCTACAAAAGGTCGTCACAAGAACTATGGGTCACATCGATGCCCGCAAGCCGACGAGGCTGGTTTATCCCCATATAGCATCCGACTGTATGGCGGTGTCTCTCATGAAAGTCGCCCGCGCTGACACGTCGCTGTAATGAGCTGTACAGCAAGTCATACGCCCGTGGAAATTAGTCCAAAACAACAAAATTTATAGAGTTGGAGAGAGAGGCGAGGTCCTCACTACCTTCGTACCCTCCCAACCACAACGAAAAACAGACGCCTCGACCGACCTGTCTGCGAAACTTGGGCCTCCAACCGGTGCGGCCCGTCCGGAGGTCACGGCTGTCAATGTTGACAATACGTTATTACAGGGAATGTCGGGGCGAGTGCCACATTTTAGTAAAAGATGCGCCCCACTCATGCTTTGAGGAGGCTCGCCTGGCAGCTACAGTAGACACGCTGCGGGTATTGGATTGGCGGGGAATACGCGGGGGTTCGCGGGGCGGGCACAACTCCGTTGGATGATAAAGTATGATGTACGGAGTACATTGTTGGCGGGCGGCTTCACAGGACACAATAACCCATTTGGACAGTGATTGGATACTTGCTGTGCAGTACCCCGTCCAACAGCATCATGCACAATATTCCTGCCCAAACTCCCCGCCAGCAAGTCAAAGACGATCCTCCCCAGTGGCAATGTCGAGCTGAATATGGCACTGGACATGGCGTACCTACCCACGGTGATGAGAGGCCATTATGCGGTTAGAGCTGAAGATGGCAAGAATAGAGGCGGACGGCGTGAGGGCAGAGATGGAAGGGATGCGAGGCGAAATGGACAAGATGAAGGTGGACCTGGCGCTGCTCAAGCGAGCGGACGCGGCGCGGGAAGCGGCGGGGCGGCGAGAGAACGTGAAGATTCCGGACGTGGGGATGTACGCGCCGGCCACGAGCACTGCCGCCATGGTTAGGAGGCGACGTATTAGAAGGGGGAATCGACACTAAAGGTGTTGAAAGAGGAGTGTCCTGGTACAAACCGCGCAGACGCCGACTCCGGCAGCTTCATTGCCGCCCCAGGTAGCGGGGAAAGGTCCAACAGTCCAGGGGATGAGTGATAGAGACAACGAGATTGGGGAGTCGTACCTGTACCAACAATGGGCTTCAAGCAATGGGCTTCGAGTCTTCAGGGTTGTCGCAAGGTTTGGCGTTTGCGGGCGATTGTACACGATAGCATATATACCCTCCATATTTGATATCTTAATAGCGATTCACGTGACTCACCTTGGGAAATAGCGTCGCACGTGACCTGTCAGAATTGGTGTACTAAGACGGCGGGATAATGAAGCCTGATTTGTCAGGAAGATATGGTAAGAAAGGCTTTGATAAGAATCACGACTAACGGCTGCTTTGTAATCATAACCCCTCTCTCCGATCTTGAAAGCGGGAGAGCACGCCCTTGGAAGAAGGCGCCTCATACAAAAATTCTCATATGGTAGGAGGAGTACGTACGTACGAAGATGAAGAATTATTTTGCCCCAGCGAGGATAGCCGGGCCAATGAGAAGTGAGGATTGAGGCATCCGCCACACATCTGTAACCTAGCGAGGCTGAGGGGGAGTGGGTGGGGTAGTAGATAGTACATGTGTCATGCATACAAACTAGGTGAGTTGTGGTGGTACATGATACATAATGGAATTAGACACCCACACACACCCTCTCTTCTCTAGCCGCCGCCGTCACGCAACTGTCAGAATTTGCAACTATGGATCCCACGATGGAGCAACCTCGGCGGCGAGGAGTCAAGTTGTTACCCCATCGCGTCGCGGATATCGTCGGCGGGGTGGCCTGGACGAGGTGATTCCGGCCTAGATGAGGCGATTCCGGCCTGGACGAGGCGATTCCGGCCTGGACGAGGCGATTCCGGCCTGGACGTGTGGGTGATGTGGATGAGTGTAGCTATTCCGAGCGACGGTGTGCAGCTATTCCGGCCTCAAGGAGTGTCAATTCCGGCCTCTAAGGGTGGTGGGTGGTAGTGGGGGAGTTTAGTCAGACGGCTCTTACTAATGCTCGATTTGTGAGCCAGATGGCGTTCCCACGACCCATGTACCGCAAGGCGTGGATATCCACGGGACAGTCATAGGGGAGGGGCAAAAAAAGATGGCAACAGGTGGATTGGGATGCGGGGAAAAGTATATAAGGAGAGGGTAGGTCGATGGTGAGTTCTCTTTTTCGTTCTATCATCAGCATCAACATCAGCTTCGTTCACACAATCAAGAGCTTCAAGCATCTACCAAACCAACGCAACAACCACCACAACCACACCACCACAACCACCCACACCACCAAACACACCCACAACAACCATCACTATGTCCGCCGTCTACCTCCCAAGCCTGACCTTCTCCGCCCCCAACTCGGCGCCCTCCTCCCGCGCCGCCTCCCGCGCCGCCTCCATCATCACGCCTGCTGCTGCGTCGCGCGCGCCGAGTGTCAAGGCGGTGGCGGCCAAGCCGAAGGGGGAGAAGAAGAGCCTCAAGAGCAGGGTTAAGAGCATGCTGAGTAGGGGGACTGAGGAGTACTAGGCTGGAGCGGCGCAAATTGCCAAGTTTGGTGTTTTAGCGCCACCGGTTGCTTAGCGCATCTAAGAGTTTATCTTAAGAGGGGATGAGATGAGAGTTGCATTATAACGACGTTTATCTTAGAACCAACAAACTACAACCACACGATCACTACGACACGATACACTGCTTTTTTATTTGGATTTGCATTTTCAAACTTGCGATTGAGCAGCTTAGAGATATCACTTTTTTTTTGTCGACGATGGGAGGCTTGAGAGCAGATGAGAGTCTGATAATTTAGAGAGATGGAAGGGATTAATGAGGGAGAGAGATATTTAGTTAATTAGATTTTTGAATACACATACATTTATACAGATACACACGTTTAAACTTGAAAGCGAGATACTTGCTTGTTCTATGCATGCCTTATGTTTTCAGTTTGCATCTGCTTTTCTCACTTGAAGATTGAGGCATCTCCCAGTCGGTTGTGAGACAATCAGCTGTAAGACGGTCGAAGACTGTTAGAACTGTGCACAACAGTGCACAGGCCTTTCTAGTTTTTTGCCTAACGCTACTCCTGGCATTTCTTGGTGTAGGATCGCTCAATTGACGGTTGTGCCACGATTGCGCCAGGGTGCTTGGTAAGGAGAATCTGAAAGATGCGCCAATACCAGAGCCGGGGGCGTGGAGAAAATAGATGCTGTTGATTTGGATTTTTGTAGGAGTTTCGGATTCAGTTGGGGGTATTATGGGAGGGGGGTTTTTTGGGCAGCGCGGGTTGGGGATCTTGATGCACCGGCGATACAGCATATATGGCTCTGAGGGATTCAAATTCTCCTCCGCACATATATCGGCCAGTCTCTCCGAGTGTGACGACCTAGACAGTAAAAATGAGCCGCTATTCCCATGTTTATATTTGGGTTTCTTTACTTTAGAAAATAATTTCACAGTTACCCCAGAAGGTAACTGGGCAATAATCTTTGCCGTCTTTCCCACAATGATTCCCCATAGCTCAGTGCGTGGGTAACTTTCGTGCCGGGAATTGGGAAGGCTTGCAAGTTCTACAGTGAGTACGAAGATTCTGATTCTATGCGGCTACGTGTGATCTTACCTGCGATAACACTACTGTCCACTGTATATGCTCCTGTCGTCTGTGGAAGGGGAACGGGATCGGACGGAGTTGTCTCCAGCTCTCGTTGGGCGTTGCCGATACGGATATTGGAAATGCTCCCTTGTATCTCAAGAACCTCGGCGTGTGACATATTGTATGGTAGTAGCAAATGATACAAATACTTGATATTCAAACAGCTGACGGTCTAGAAATTAAAATAGAGATGCAAGTAAGGCGGCGCTGCTGATGCCTAGTTTTTTAAGTGTTGTTAGTTATAATACGTCGGGCAACGGCGGAGCAGAAGCTTCACAGTAGAGTACAGTAAAATAGTATAATATAATCAATGGAGTTACAACCTAATCTACGGGCCTACGTACGCTTTTTGTAGGCCTGTAGGAAATCCCCAAGACCCTGATTATACTTCTTAATATATGATTCCTAGTGGTTATTGTTATATAACTAGAGGTTCTACGGCATTTCCTGAAAGTCTCGACCGTGACTTCGAGGGATGCAACACCCGAACCCTCTCAAATACATCATTACGCATGTTTAACACATGAAATAGGCCTGCTGGCCCAATGGCAAGGCGCTTGACTACGAATCAAGAGATTGCAGGTTCGATCCCTGCGTAGGTCACTATTCATAACATCTCGATCAACGAGCATAACTTTTTCGCAATTTTTTTAATTTTTTTGCCCACCTAATCCATCCCCACCAAGGCTTCGCGAATAATATTTTTGCGCCCCCACCATCGGTGATCCACAATCGATCCACAGCTATCGGTGGGTGCGAGGAGTTTTTTTTTGTGGGTTTTGGATTACAGGATGAGGGCAAGAGGGATTATTAATATGGGATTGGCGTCGCTATGTTATAAAAATGGCCTCCTGGCCCAATGGCAAGGCGTTTGACTTCGATTTCCGCTTCGGCGCTATATGGTATCAAAAGATTGTCGGTTCGATCCCGGCGGGGGTCAAAGCATCATTAATTTTTTGTTTTATTTTTTAACTGTGCAATGTTGTGGAAATGCACCTTTGCATGCTAGTTCACGATATTACTTGTGATTTATCCTTTATTTTGTCTATTTGTTTGTGGGTGTGTCTGGAAATGTTGTTGGATAAAGTTTGCTTCGGTTGACATCGTTAATAAAACGACGACGTTGAGAAACGTCACGTAACCAGACGAGAACGAAGACGAAAGAAAATACAAGGCGTACGACAGCTATATACTTCCATCTTGTCTTTGAGCGTGTTTCTAGTATTTCTACTCATGTCATAAGAGCTCGCAGTTCCTCATGGTTGGCATGGCTAGGTGACATCGCTAATGGTGAACGGGTAAGCTGGCTGTGATAACCAACACATCCATATACCTATCCTACCAGCCAGCTTATTGTGTCAAGTCCATAGATTCACCATCTCATCCAAGATGGCCGCTCACCAAAGCCCCCAAAGCCACAAGTGCTTCGCGCAGACGATGGCTGCGTAAATGTCCGGATTTCATCATCCGTTTCCTAACGGGACTGGTTATGTCCGCTGAGGCGAGGGAACAGGCTAGGCGGAAGGCAGCCGGGGAGGAGGATGAAGGGATCGTAACGATGGAGATGTTGGCGCCGGTGCTGAGATATGATTTTGCGCTTGTGCAAGCGATGGTGGGTGATGCGAGGGGGTTTGATAGAGTTGCGGAGGGGAGGAGGGTTTTGTTAGTTGGAGGTGGGGGGAGCCTAGGGTATATGAGGTTTGCGATGCGGGAGTGGTTGATGCGGTGAGGGAAGAGGGGTTTGAAGAGGGGATGGAATGGGAGGAAGTTGGGAGTGTGGGTGTAACGATGTACGGTTACGCTCGCTCTACATCCCACTGAGCCAAAAAGACTACAGTATTCCGGCTCGCCCGGAATACACGTAACACGCTTTATATACCACATGTACTGTAACGGCGGCACCCGTTACAGTGGGACATGAGTTGTTTGAGAATAAGAGGAGGAATGGGAGGGTTGAGTTGGGTGTTGAGACTGTGAGGAGGTTTTTGGCGGGGGCTGATATGAGGGAATTGGCAATCTGGTTTGTCTGGTTCACCGACGGTCTGTTTGTAAGGCAGCGTGAGTAACTCTAATGTACTTCTAATATATACTGCACCATACATCAATCTATTTGGTCATTTAGCCACGGATCTTCTAGCAGTTCCTTTGCCGTTTTCCGATCTTCTAGTCGCCACTACAGCACGACAGTGAGCGGACAGTGAACGATTTGAAACCCCGAGTTCACCTGTACTTAAACCTACACTATCCTCTCACTCTGTCTCTGTAAGAACAACTACAAGCAAACGATTTTCAAAGGTCTGGGACCATACGCCTGTTAGCCGCTGCGATATCATTCGTAACCACCAGGGCAGGTTAATATAGCGTTGTAGATACTGTCTAAAGGAGTATCTTGAGTCTGGCAGAACGAAGATTATTACAAGGCACCTAAAAGAACACGACATCGATATATCCTCTACTCAGGAATCTCGAACTACCTCAATTCAAAGTACTCTAGCATCGCTGATGCTTTCGATAAAGCTAAGGAGGCGAATTATAAACGCCGCTGTCTCTCTACTATTACAACTCAAGCCTTGGACCCTACTGTTGTTGAGCAGCTATATGTACGATGGATTACAACTTGTGGAGTCCCTTTCCATATGGCAACACTATTGGAATTTAGGGCATTACTCTACTACCTTAATCCAGAAATCGATAACTGGCTACCAAACTCTATTCCAACAATACAGACCTCGACGTTGTGTACATACGAGGCTCAAAAGCAACAAATCAAACGCGACGTACAATCACTCTTGAAAGCCCATTTGTAAGGACAGTTCGAACCGAGGCTGACCTTTGAGTCTGCAGAAGTATCTGAAGTATATCACTGTTAATGAGGCTATGTTGGCTTCCTAGGATAGACTGCAAATAGAAGAATTATGACCATCTCTTTATATTATGACAAGCTGGATTTAAGCTGCAGTTCTTCACCCGTGTCCGGCTAAGAGAAGTTGATAGACAAGGTATGCAACGCTACTACTGTTGACCTGAATATAAGCCCCTAACAACTTAAGATCCAACCGAAGATATAAATATGCACATAATCTACTCCCGTACCGTAAATTTGTGCAAAAACCGCACAACCTTTTTAAAATTATGGCATCTGGCTTCCATATGCGATAACTGCTAAATGGTACGAAATACTGCGAGTATTCCTTGTTCCCAAGCCATATGCATGGGGAAAGTATGACACGACTACCACGGATAACGTAGACATATATTTCCTCCTGGCGGAGTTCCGCGACGTCGGGGAGCAGCCAGCTGCTCCTGTGAACTTGGCAGCTCGCCTGGCAGACATGCATCAGCGTTCAGTTTCTCCCACGGGGAAGTTCGGCTTCCATATTTCGACCTGCCATGCAAAGATTGCTCAGGCCGTTGCTACGTGGGAAGATTCGTGGTGCACATTTTACTTAAACCATCTTGGTCATGTCATGGATTTAGCTAGGCCTATCCTCCAGTGGCCTGAATTCGACATTGTTTGCAAACTTACCCTTGAGAAGGTCGTTCCGAGGCTGTTGCTACCACTCCAGTCTGATGGCCGTGTCCTCAAGTCGTCCCTTATCCATGGCGATTGTTGGGATGGCAACACAGCAACGGATATGAAAACAGGTGAGGCATTTGTGTTCGATGTGTGCTCATTTTATGGGCATAATGTATACGACACTGGGAACTGGAGGGCACCTAGACATCGACTTAGTAATTTGGCATATATCAAGAACTACAAGAAATGCTTCCCTGTTTCTGAGCCAGGTTGGTCCTCTTCGAGTCACTGTAATTTAAGAGTGTTTGCTGATCACCGGGTGGTGAAAAGAGGAAGATTGGGACGCCCGCAATCTTCTCTACTCGTTGACATTTAACATCGGCAATACGATCTATATTCCAGGCTCCAGTCAGAGACAAGTGTAAGTGGCTCCAGAAATATGGATAAGTAAGGGAGATCGCTAAATATTTGGCAATTTAAGGGTCTATAATGACATGACCACGCTTTGCGAGATGTTCTGCCCTGACGATATTAAACAAGAGCTTACTGCCCTCCGCATATTCCAAAACAGGGCAAGTCACTTGGCAAACTCGATTGATGTAGCCGGCGGAGATGGCGATGAAGTGGAGGCAGAGGGGAGGAGGAAGAAGAAGAAGAAGAAGAAGAAGAAATAGAGGGGAAGGAGAGTATAAAGCCAGGCCAAGTTCGAGTTCAGGTAGAGGCAGGCACCGGGCATCTGGAAGGCATTGTTTCTTTGTATCTCGTTGACCTCGCTTGAGGTTTAGTTATGCTATTTTGCCTATACAAAGATGCCACAATGCTAGATTTAGATTGATAAAAGATTCACTCACGCAGCTAGCGCTTCCCGAACAAGCTCCACAGCCCCCTGCGCGCACCCATACGAGCCCTGATACCCCCACCCCCCATGCCCATAATTATGCACCACCCACACTGCACCTACCCTCTCCTTCTCAACCCTCACTCCCCCCTCCCTCACCGGCCTCAACCCAACCCCATGTCTAACAACACTCAACCCCTCGACGCCCTTCCCCCCCGCAAGCTCCGGACATACCTCAACAGCCCTCTTCATAATCCGCGCCGCAATCTCCATATCTGGCGCTGCCTCCCAACTACCTACTATATACGTCCCGCCGAGCACGGTGCCTCCACCTGCCGCGCGCTGCATTATGTAGCATAGCTCGTCTGGGCCGTCGTCGGTGCCTGATGTTGCGATCATGGGGGTAGCTTCATTCCTGACCACGACCGTCTGGCCACGCACTGGAACGACCTTGGTGTCCATTACACCACCTAGCTTGGACGCCAGGAGTCCAGTGCAGTTCACGACGAGGTCCGCGGGCTTGCCGGAGTGGTGCAGCGAGGCTGCATCAGAGATGTGGGAAAGCTCCGCACGAGATATGCGGGCACCGTTGGCGAGGCATTGGCTAACTAGATAGGGGAGATAGATGGCGGTGTTAATACAGACGGAGGAGTGACGGATGCCGGAGTCGTAGCCTGCAGGAAGCTCGGAGGAGGAGACAACGCGGTAGTCGGGGACTACGTCTTTATACCAGGGGTTTGGGTCGGCGGATAATCTCATAGCTGCACCAGACCCGAGGTCTTTCGTGCGGTTGAGGACCAGGGAGTCTGGAGGAGGTTAGTTGGCGTGTGGGATGGAGGGATGGAGGGATGGGAGGGTTTGCCTTGGAGGTGGATGCCTGATTCTGGGACGTCGTTGGCGAGGCGGTAGAGCTCGGGGAAGGTGTTTCTCTCCCAGGGACCCCTTTCATCGTTTGTGTGTCTGGATGCGGGGGTCAGTGGCTATCGGATGGGGAGAGGAGGGGGTGGTTTGATTAGCGTACGGGGAAAAGTTGGCTCCAGCCCATGGCGAGGTATATTCGATGTCATAGTCACCGGGCATGTGTCTGGCTACTATGGTGACATTATATGCGGGGTTCCTGGAGAGAAGGAGCGCAGTGGTGAGTCCGGAGACGCCAGCACTGCGTAATGTCAGGATAACCCCTCAGTCTGGGTTGCTCATAATACGCACCCGACAACTACGATGTTCGCCATAGTTCAGATGAAGCAATAGAGTAAGTGTATGTTCTAAACTGTCATTCACAGTAAATTGTAGATAGTTATACTCTGCCTTCATAAGGAAGGTGCTTCAAGTTGGGGTGCCTGCTATAAATTAGAACTGCCCAAGAAGATGTATGTGGTACCTCTTCTTCCTCACTATTGTTCGGCGAAGTGGAAGTAGAGTTACTCAGCACTCGTACTAAATTATGGGGAAACAGCCCCGCCGCATAACTTACTCTGAAAACAAAAGAAGTGAATAAAGCACGTGACATGGCTGATTTTGGCATGCCGATGACGTAGCAAAGGCATCCTCATCCCGTTGCTCTTCAGCCTCGGACCAAATAGCCCTTACGGCCAACGCAGCACCTCTAGCAAGCTCCAAGCTATTCATTTCTCATAAACAGTACGGAATACGGAAAATACTACTAATTCCACTTGCCTTCTCGATACGCGTTGTAAGGACGTATACAGATGGCTGCGACTGACTGAGACAGAACAAAGGAGGTGCATGTGAGTACGGATAAGAATGCCGATAAGAATTTTGTGAAGGCGGTATGCGGGTTTCTTTCCGTGACAGTGGAGCTTCTTGTTACCGTCAAACTTCCGAGACCCGTCTCATCCGCGAGTGCTTTGACTTGCACCGGCGATGTATCAGGCACTGTGCACAGTAGCCTGTCGGGGCGAAAAGGGCGAAAGGGCAAAAAGGGCGAAAGGGCAAAAGGGCAAAAAAGGCGAAAAGGGCAAAAAGGGGCTGGATGTCTCGGAAATTAATTTGACAAAGGGCGTCGGCTCTGTTTTCACATTTGGCGGTAAACAAGCATTGAAGAATGTTCAAAGATGAAGGGTCAGAGAAGACACTAAACAGGAACTAGAATGCAAAAACAAAACGGATGCAAGAGCTAATTTGTCCGCTTGGCCTTTAGAGCCATTGTGAGTGGCGCTTGGGGAGATTTGGGAGACTTGAGTGACCGGAAAAATGTGTTTAAAAGTAAGTTGGACTTCTTTAGCCTTTTTGCTGGGCTCTCACTCCTGACATGGACTTCGTTTCCTTGCATAGTATTCTCACAACCCCTCAAGTAAATCGCCGAAGCTGTTATATCATCTCTGAACATCTTCTCCCTCAGAATAAATCAAATAGATTAAGTTAAATGAAGACTCCCCGCCCAGGATGAAATAATGCATATCGCTTACTAAGCCAACCCTGGTGGTTTTTCTGGTACTTGCGTACTAAAATGTGACGCGGTTCTACTCCCAAAACTTGTGAGTTCACCACTCTAGAGCTTGGGAATTCGCTTTTAGAACAACATCCCCTTACGTACGACCTCTTTAGCCTCATTGTCGTTTGGACTGGACCATTTGAAAATATACCAGCAACTTTATATATTGACATCTTCAAAACCTCCCCCTTGATGCAGTCTTCCAACGCAACACCGCCGACCGTACCACTACTTCTTACTACTCGTATACACTGTCCTGTTCACCCAAAATGGCCAACAACCATGCGGGCGAGTTCCCGTTGTTGGTTGCCCACAACCTCTACGCCGCCGATATTAAAGGAGATGGTGAGTTTTGAAGCTGTATAATTTATTTATCCTTCACTAATTGCTAACTTTCTTCAGGTAACTGCCTTTTCAACGCCCTTTCCGACCAGCTCTATGGCGACCAGAGCGAACACAACAAGATAAGAGCTCGTGTGATAGAATACATGCGGGAGCACGCCGTCTACTTCAAACAATTCATCGAGGTGCTCCCTGGTGGAGGGCAACGCCGAAACCCCAAGAGGAAGAATGCAAACGTATACTCCACGCCTACAGCTTTCACTCCGCCAACACAGCAGGAAATCGACCGTGTGTTTGAGACACACCTGGGGTCCATGGCTCGCGGTGGAACCTATGGAGACAACATGGAGATATCAGCCTTTACTTCAGTCTACAAGGTCGACGTGAAGATATACCAGCGTGATTTCGCCTACATGATCACCGCCCCAGAGGATGGGACAGTCCATCCGGTCGCCCACATTGCGTATCACGTAAGTACCACCCGAGGAAGCCGGCCCTCCCCCCAAGCAGCCTTCCACTAACAACCTCAAAGACATGGCAACACTACTCCTCGATACGCAACACCGACGGCCCCTACACCGGCCTCCCCAACGTCCACGAAAAACCTCTCACCCCCGAAGAAGAAGCCGCCAACCAAGCCGCCGCCGCCCAGATGCCTCAAGTCTTCCCCTGGATGATCAATATCGTCCAGCAATCCCTCCCCTACCTCACCGACGAAGAAACCATAAAACGCATCCTCGAATCACACAAAGGAAACATCGACGCGGCCGTGTGCTCGCTCCTCGATGCCGAAGACGCTGCTAGCATCTCCTCGCAAGACGGTAGTGCCAGCACTGAACGTGACCCCGACTCCGACGATGAAGATCTCTCGGCCCCGAATAAGAAGCAAGACCGCCGTATGAGCCGTGCCACGAAGGCCGTCCGCAAAGCAAAGGCTGAAGAACGTCTCGCTCTCGCCATCGAAGCCGCAGGTCTCGTGTCTGAAGCAGACACCACTAGCTCATCTGACCATGGCGTGCCGAGGGAATCCTCACCTACCCGCCCGCCGCGCAGGAAACTCATCCCAAAGTCCCGACTGAAGCACAAGACGGGCGAAGAGGGCACATCCGACTCCGCGTCAGGGACATACTCACCGTCATGTTCATCAGCTGCGTCATCCGCATCCCCAAGCCGCTCATCATCAATGGGCCCGGCACTCGCACCAAAGAACAACATCAAGCTCGTCGTCAAGCCGCCCGCCGTGGTCCCAAAATGCATCACAGCCCGTGAACGCGGGGACCTCAAGAAAGCAGCACAGAAAGCAGCGAGGAAAGAGAGCAAACGCGCAGCAGCAGCAGGTGCAGCGAAGCGAGTGGATGTGGAGAGCCAGACACCCACATCAGCACCGGTGCATATGCCATCACCACCTACAGAGCTGGGGATGGGTATACGTACGCTATATATCTGAGAACATCCCACGCGCTGTCGGTCGCAGGGACATTTATAATTTTCTTTATTGCTTCGGTTTTGGATTTGGAGTTGCAAGATGGGGTCGGCAGGCAGGCAGGCATAGCGGATTATCCCAGCGGCTGGGGAACATTGGTTTTTTACAGTACAATCTGGGGCGTTTTTTTATGAGTGAACTGGGGGTTTGCGGGCGAAAGCATGAATTGAGCGAAAAGTGCATCGGTGGTGCAAGCATCTTGAATTGAAATGAGCGAAAGACTGGCATGGGGAAACGGAATTGCATTACGCCCAGGCCGACAAGGCGGGGATTTGTTTTTAATTATTTTTGGGACAACTTGGGGGGTTTGGTGAGCATAGAAGTGATGGCTTTGAAGAGCTCGGGACATCACGTGGGGTTTGGCGTTGGGGTGAATCGTATAGAGGAGAGTTGGGGGGTGAGACAAGCTGCGGCGACGTATATGAGCAGTCAGTCAGTCGTCTGGAGAGTTGAGGTGTGAATAGAAGGGTTGATACATGATACTCTGAACGCGTGACTTTGATTTACTACTGATTATCCTCTCCTGGCTTTACGATGAACGGATTGCGCGAAGGTGGCTTTTATGGGATGTAAGCTGCCATGTGCATCGTCTCGTCTGAGCCATGGCCATTTCTGGCGTTGAGGTCGGTGAAAGATCGGGCAAGGAGCTTAATCGTCAATTAAGGTCACTGAAGGAGCTAGTCACAGCGGCCATACATATATATCACCACGGGCGTCAGACACAAATTCATCAGAATGAATGTATTCCTTTCCCTCCAACTACCAGCAGCTGCAGCAGCTGCAGCACCTAAAGTGCGCAAGCTATACCAGCTATAATGTATCCCATCCATCCTCACCCCGTCCCAAAAACATACCCCCCCCCTCTAAGCCGCAGCCGGGGCGCCCCCCCCAGCAAGCTTCTCAATAGCCGCCAACAGCGCCGGCGGGTTCATGCCAACAACCTCCCCAACCTTCTCGCCCTTCTTGAAGAGAATGAAGGTAGGCATGGCGCGGACGCCGAGCTCCTGGGCAACGTCGGGGACGTCATCGACGTCCACCTTGATGAAGTGCGCGTTGGTGAATTGCTCGGAGTATCTGTATCCCTGGTCAGTTATTCTGCTGTGGTGGATATTGTGGGGTCCGGGGGGGGTACTTGACGAGCGTAGGCGCAATGGCCTTGCAGGGGCCGCACCAGACGGCGTAGGCGTCGAGGACGACAATGTCGTGCTCCTTAATGGCGGCCTGGAACTCGGCCTTGCTGTTGTGGGGGAGGCAATGGTCAGCGCGTGTCCCCGGTGCAACGGGGGTCGGGGGGAGGGAGAGCTTACTTCTGAACGTTGTGGACACCCATGGTTCTAGCTGTGGATGAAAAGGGCCGGAGAGTCTGTATACGCGGCGTCTTTAGCAGATTCCTCGAGATGGCGCGGGAGAACATGAAAGATGGTTTGAAACAGTAGTTGGGGGGGTGAGAAGGAGGGATTATATAGGACGTGGATGGTGGCGGTGGTGGTGGTTGAGATGGATTATGTGCTTTTGATGACGCTTTGCGCCAGACTTGGGGGATTTTGCAAGGCGTCGCCGCTGCTTGCTTAGTGATCAAGACACGGCGGCGTAGATCGGATCGGCGGGAAGCGAGGGTGTGCGAGAGTATTCCATCTTTTCGCCGAGTCTGGAGTAGGAGAGAGGAGCGGTTTGCTTACAAATAGATCTTTTCGTGAGAAATGTTTCGAATAATCAAGTTCGGCGTTTTGATATGGAGGCGTTTGTTTTTGTAGGTGGTAGGTTTAAGGTGGTTGAGGTATTTGGGAAGGAGGGGTAGTGATGGGGGTGGGAAGATGGGGAGGAGTTCGGGTACTTTGGTACTTTCCGAGTGAGCTTTTTGCTTACGAAGGTTGACAGGCCAGACCTCCATTAATTAACGCTCATTGGCAGCACCATGACGTGCGAGTTACCCGAGACAATGTCGGTCATGTGACTTCATATTGGAGCTCTTCCTTTGTTCTTTCACAGCCACGTTCCAATCGCTGCCTCGTTATGCTGGGCATGCGCACACAAGGAAGGGGTGGCGAAGTACGACGGACAGTTTAAGAATAGAATGTAGAATAGCATGGAAGAGCTGCACAGCATGCTGTGAGATTCAAAACAAAGTGGTATTGTACGACTCCAGCTACACGGGGAAATCCTCCTTGGGATCCCTGCCACACACATTGGCATATTCCTCCCTTCCTCCTCTCTCAATAGCCCCCACCGCAGCTACGGCGCTGGCACAACACTGCCCCTTCCTCTATTACCCTTCCCCTTTGATCCCGCCTCCTCCGGCCCCATGGCGACACCGCCTCCTTTAAACCAATCCCTGAGCTAAACAAGCACATTCGGTGCAAAGTACATTCGAGTCCCTCTTCCCTCTTCCCTTTCCCAATCCCAATCCCAAGCCCACTCCAACAATACATGGTTTCCTGCCAGCTATACTTAAGGAGAGCATACAATGGCATGATAGCAAAGAAGCAAGTAGTCTAGAATCCAGTGGTTGGTATTCTAGCTGCCGCTGTGTGTGATGGTAAGAAACGTGTAATAGCAGTGTGAAATCTATATGCGGATATATATCGGACAGTTAGACGGTAAAGAAATTGCATGGTGAAGCCCGTATGGGTGTCGGTCGGCAGGTTGATATCAGTTCGATCGCGAGATGGAGATCGACGGCTCTGGGTGTGGTTTTGGATGTGTGAGAAACTCGGTGATGTTGACGAGCAGTAAAATCAGGGGTCCGTAGACCCGGAAACAATATTTGTGAAATATTCAAATGAGTGTGGGCGCCTATCGGCATCGGACATAGGAAATCGCGAAAAAGAGTGTGGCTAGTCGTCGTCGTCATCGAGTCTCATCCATTCCAATCCTCATCCATCGTCAGTCGTCTCCAAATCGAACAATCCCCCGTATCTCAACTCAGCCAATGCTCGTCCTCTTCGATTCTCCCGAAGCCCTCGGCTTAAGGTCCAGTAACCTCGCGCTCCCGGCGCTGACGGCTCTCATATGTGCCTTCTTGTAGTCGATGCTCGTTGCTCGGTCTAGACCGCCGCCCCCAACCGGCGTCACTGGGGACTCAGCGGTTTCCGAGTTCACGCCATCCTTGGGAGGCGAGAGCGGGCTGTCCAGTTTCTCGTCGTCGCCAGAATCATAGTCCTGGAAATCGTTCAACCTGCCCTGCCTTAATGCGGCGCGGGGTTCGCGGTGAACGATCGTCGGCGTGTGGGCCACTTCGCCCCATTTGCTGCTTTTCGAAACGGGGCTTCCCAGGCTCTCGCCATCCTCTTCGTCGCTCGACGGCATGGGGTTGCCGCTGATGCGGTTAGCCATGTTTGTCTTGCTGTACATGTCGTCTGGCCCCGGTGTCAAGCGGTTATAGTATTCGCCTTCAGCGATGCCGAGCTCTTCTGCGGAATCGGAGAGGTTTCTGTATCGCTTCACGAGAGAGCTGTGGCTGTCTCTTGACTGTGTGGGCGGAATCTGGCGCGAGCTTCTCTTCGAGTTCGCTCTTGCGCGTCCAGAGAGCCATGAGCCTTCGGAATCGATAGATGCCAATGACTGCGACAAGGCGTTACTCGGTTCCGGAGACGGCACGTCTGCGGGGTGTTCACCGGTAGGAGTCTCGTAGCGCAAATGAGAGCGGTGGCCACTCGATGTATCGAGCTGCATCTGTGATGGAGGTTCGGCCGACTTTCGACCACTGGTAATGTTCATCGGAAGCGATCTCTCGATCGGTTGTACTCGCATAATATCGAGCTCTGGAGACTGAACCCTTGAATATGGCGGTGACATGGGCAGTTCTGGTAGATCTTCCCTGAAACGCGACATCGTCCTCTTTGGTCCAGGTGGATGTACTATGGGAATTGCGTAGATCACCGTAGCTGGTGGAGGTGCCACGGTGGATTCGCGGGTTGTGTTCGAGAAAGACGATTGAATTGACGACCGCTTCTCCTTCGAGTTGCGCGTGAACCATGACTTCCACGACGAATGCTGCTTGCTGCTTCCAGTGTCGAAACTCGTCCTTGATGTGTCCTGTTTTGAGAGCTCCGCGGGGATGTGTTCCACTTGTGGAATAGGCGCTGGAATCGGCGCAGGTAGTTCTGTCGATTTCGGCGGTGCAGGCAAGTCGTTGATCTGCGATACGCTCGATGCATTGCGGTGATGGCCAGCTTGTAATGATGGTGGGGGAGACATGGTCGCCCGCGATAACCGAGCTACCTGGGCAGTTGCTAAGACTGGCTCCGATTGTTCGCTCGCTGGAGATTCCAGGTCTGGGCTGGGCAGGCTGCCGTTTACTAGGATGCCAGCGGGAACGTTCTGCGCGCCGCTCTCTGGAGCTCCATTCCTAACATCTGCAGCGCCGTCGGTTGTCGTCGCAGGTTCTGTCGATTGTTGCGCCGGAGCTTCCACCGGTTTTTGGCCTTCAATTCCAAGCCCCATTAACTCTCGTCCCATTACTCCCCGGTCCATGATCTTTGCCGGCTCGTTGCCGTGGATGATAGCCTGACTTTCCTCGGCCTTTTGCCTCTCCTTTCGCCTTGCCCTTTGCGCCATCGCCTCCCTTTCAGAGGTCCTCCTCTGCTCCCTCCGCCTATTATCCCTCTCCATTAGTTCTCTTAGAGCGCCTGCATCGAGACCATCGGCCAGGTCATCGATACGCTTCCGATAAGCCGGCTTTTCTTCGGGTACGGGCACCTTTTCTAACGCCCTCTTTCTCTTCGAGGAGTTGGATCGCTCGATGCCCACCCCGCTTTCGTACTGCTTGAACTTTGGGTTTTCGCTGTACCTTATCGTAGGTCGCGGGGTAAATAAGTCCATACCTTTCAGCTCGTACGTGGCGAATCGCTCAGAATCCGACGATATTGACGAGCGAAGCGAGTCTGGTATCGGCAATGAGACGTCTGATGTCGTGCTCGTAAATAATCTGGTGAGACCATGTAACTTCTTCGTGTCTCTCCTTATCGGGCTTCCACTCCAGTCCGGTGTAGTCGCTGCGCGCATCGGAGTCGGCATGAACTTGCTCATGGCTTTGATTTCCGCCGCTCTATCGTGGTCTTCTTTCCGCTTCTTGCTCGACTTTCGCCTGTTCAGGTCCTGCGCAGTTCGTTTATGGAGCGTCGGAACCCTTCCCAAATCTTCGGTTTGCGCTCTCCCCTTGGCAGCGAAAGCCGACCTTGCCACGATCGCAACAGCATTGTCGGGTAGCGGTGGGTGTGCGCGACCATCTCTTCGGACCCCAAGGTTCTCCGACCGAGCCGGAGAGTAGCTGTAATTCCTCTTCGGCGGATCGCGTTGCAACTTCTTGCTTTCTCTCGACCTCCGTCGCCTCTCGCGCCCAGTTCTCTTTCGCGACAACTCTCCCGCGGCGCCAACTTCACTCCCATTCAGGCGCCCGGCCTCTCTTGACCCCACCCGCTTCATCGTCGTCGGTTCTGTCGCAGATGTCTTCAACCCCAGACTGCTTTTCTTGCGACTATTCTTCCTCCCAAACGGCCAGATGGTCATCTTCTCATGCGTCTTGATTGTCGCATGTGCGATGCGACCGTCTGGTTCTGGCGCCTTGTCCTCGTTTCGCGGGTTCGGTTCGTGCTATCTCGTCGCGACTGGAGATGAGCCAGACATAATCTCGGATGTGTAGTTAGGTGTCCTCCTTGCGGCCAGGTTGTTCTTATAAATTATTGTGTTGCGATTAGGTCGGCTTGCTCTCGATGAGTTGGTAAAATTGCCGATATCGATGGGGCTGGTGGTGGGGAATTGGGCGCGTTTGCGCAACAGGGACGGGCCGTTCAGGGTGTTAGTCCACGTAGAGTCGCAGTCGCAGCCGCATGCGCGGGATTCGATATTAATTCGATATAGATTTTCAAGTGAGTGAAGGTGATTTGTAGTCGGATGCGAATTAGAGAGAACGAGGAGTGAGTGGGAGGTAAGGGAGTTGAGTGAGTATGAGGGAAGGGGAAATTTGTGTTTCGAGGAGGTTTGTTGAAGGGAAGGGTGTGATGGGGAAAGGTCCAGCAGGCCAGGCGAAAGTACTTTTCAGGTACCCGAGTACCTTCGGACGTGCAATTATAGAGCGGGCCACTTTAACCGGGCACCAACGAAAGTTATACTAATATTCCCCATAACCACCACGACTGCGGCCAAGGATATTAAACGCCTCTATAGGTCTACAAGGCAGGGTAGAAGGGCTAGAAGGGTGTTGATAGGTGTCGCTGGAGAGATTGCCTCTTCTGGTCTTGTATTTCCCTTCTCAGCCGGTCTGGTTCTGGGTATTGAAGAAGCCTGCTAATGCTACATACAGATCGAGACGGGTACAGTACACATCTCCCACGGCTCGAAATCGATGCGAGACTATTTTACTACATATGGCCTCGGTGGAGAAATAACCCTCCATGCTCCATGCGCTGGTCATCCCATCAATGCACTGGAACGTGGTACCCCTCTGTGTTCTGGCTAGTGTACGTCGCCGGTGCTAAAGAGTTGCTAGGAGGCTAGGAGACTATTGCCGTGGCGCATTACTGTATCTGCCCACTCTGTTTGTATCCTTCTTGTGCCTGTCTGCAGGCTCTCGGGCTCTGCAGGACCTTAAGTGTGTTGGCCCTGCGTTGGCTCAGTGCCTGCATTATTGCAACTCATATTGGAGTATATTGGATGGAGTACATGCCGAACAAGACTGGCATCCTCAGCATCCGTACCACCGACGACGGTGTGGCCGACATGATGGCAAGGCACGATCTGGCCTGTCTCAATGATGTCTGTCAAGGAATATTACTCGAGTACCTGCAACACTCCCCCCATCAGACGAAACTGACAGCCACCAGCGCCCCATCTGCCCATCTGCCCATCTGCCCATCTGCCCTCGAAGGATCCATAGCTGAGGATGGATTTCCTAATGGGCCAACGGGATTCCCTCATTCAGACCCTGTTCCGTTGGGCCACTCCGACCGAGCCGTTTTGTCCGTCTGCTTGCCGTGTCACTACTTCTCCCACTACTCCGTAACTTACTGCGCTTCCCAATAGGTGAGATCGTCCACAAAGACGTCCAGAAATCCCCCAAGCCATGTGCTCATCGTCGCCCAAACCTGCTGCTTGATGCCCCATCATTCGCTCGGGTTGCACTGCTACTACTGTCCATACTCGTACTTTGGCTCAAGAATTGTTAACAGGGGACCCATGTACGTAGTTCCACCTCATCGCTGTTTTATATGACGCGTCACGTACATACGAGTGGTAAAGCAGCATAACATTACTCGGGTTTTTATTGGACTACTCTACTGCCCTACATACATCCTCTACTCTCCGTAGAACACTAGAAACGGTTCGCGTCTCTCTCCTCCCTCCCGCACCTCTCCAGCGCCCCGGATACTGAGACCAAATCAGCTCTCCTCTCTTACTGTACTCCGTATGATCGGCGTCATATCGCCGTCTGAGAAAGGAGCGGTGATGGGAATTCCTCCTCGTCTTCCCCAGCCCCCAGCTCATCGCCACACGGCACGTCCAGGATTCCCCACCGAGTCTCCAATCCAGCACCGATAGTGTGAGTAACTGCTAACTGCACCGCCCGCCCCGTCGTCACCAGACATGGAGTAGGAGGTGGTAGGCATGCGCGTACTCGCCATCCCGCCCGCCACCAACCCCACAAACCCAAGCGGCAATGGAGAGAGATCGTCGGTGTGTGAACCTGGCTCCGGCTCTTAATTGCGGCCCAGCCACTCATGGGAAGAAGAGGGTCATGTGCATATTAAACTTGTATGGGGCGAAGACTGAGACATTACACCTCATGTCGCGGTATGGGTGACGATTCGATTCCGGTTGGTGTGGCGGCCGATCCCATCACTTTCCCACAAAAACAACAGAGAATGCCAGATCTGTCTCCGCGTGATTTCTAGAGGGATATCACGTGTTTGGTTGTGGTTGTCTGCTCACGTGACTAAGGAATGATGCTAGCAATTTATGGTGATATGATATCTCCCTTGGGCTCTATTTCTCTGTAAATAATAATAATTTTGAAGTTAAGTGATTGAGAGCATACGTTTCGATTACAATTGCTATAGCTAGTGCTGTCTTACACAATTTTTATTCTGAATTTTTAGCGGCAAGGTACAATGAAACAGGCTCTAGGAGCATCTTAGCCCCGAAAGGAGATCTAGGAGGAGATGGAGGCGAAGGCGAGGAAGTCCGCTAGTTACGGGATATACTAAGAAATACATTACCATCGACGAGGACGAGCAACCCCTTTTACCACGATCATGCAGGACGCTGTATTTCAGGATTCTCGAATCCTTCTTCTCACGATTCCCGGAGGCCCAAACGCTATCCTTACCCATGCGCAGCGACTGGGCAAGGAAGAACTCCTTGCCCAGAAGGATGGATATTCGCAGAAGTTCTGGGCCGCGAAGGCCAGGGTCGAAGCGTTGGCCAGGATCGAAGAGAAGAAGGCAGCTGTCGCTTAAATCTTACTGTAACCTGAGTCTTGCTGTCGTTTGAGCTTTGCTGTCACTTTCGTCTTGCTGTCACTTCGTCTTGCTATCGGCTCCCTTTCTCAAGTGATGCGAATCAACGACATACCTTAACTCTCATGGCCTCCCTTTTCTTCTCCTCCGTCTCCTTCCTCACCCTCTCCATCTCCTTCTTCCACTCCTTCTTCCACTCCTTCTTCCTCTCCTTCTTCCTCTCCTTATTCCTCTCCTTCTCCCTCTCCTTCTTCCTCTCCTTCTTCCTCTCCTTCGGGATGCCCGTTAGGCGGCTGTACTGTGGTGGCCATGAGGCCCTTCGGCGGAAAGAAAGTTCTATTATAGTTATAAGATTTCGCACGTGATTGAATTATGTATAATTAATACTTACGATTATTAACATTCATGTTTAGATTGTAAGGTAGGCATTGTAAGGTAGGCATTGTGAGGTTAGAGATTGTGAGGTGGGGATTGTGAGGTTGGAGATTGTAAGGTTGGAGATTGTGAGGTTGATGGGAATGCGACGTTGTGGGAAAGACACCAGACACGCAGTATAGTATATGCCTCTCTCGAGTGTCGCCGTAGGCCCGGAAGGAAATGGAGGAGGAGAATGAGGAGAAGAAGTTGGCGAAGGCTGTGCCAAAGGTGCTTACACATGGGCAGCAGATACGTCGGCAAGAGCTCCTGGCGCAGAATGACAGTTTCGCGGCGCTGTTCCACGTAGCTAAAGGTTTTTGTTCTAATTGCAGTTGCTGTGATTGCTGCTGTCACTTTAACTCTTAATGTCACTCAAGTCTTCCTGTCGCTTGAGCCTTAAGTGTCCCTTAGGTCTTCCTGTCGACTCCATTAAGTCTGCTGAAACACAGCATAGCAAGAAACAAAAGCTATAGCTTATTGGATGTGTTGGCCTTAGCCCTTGTCGTTTTGGATCATATTTGATCCCTTTGGCGAATTCCCTCAAGCCCGTAATCGCCGTAAGCATACGGCGCCGGAAGTGAGCTTTTCATGGTTATGAGAATACAGAAGCGTCCCATTCTCGTTGTGGCGTATATCCTACATGAGCTCGTGTTAATCCCACAGCCTCCTCATAAATTTGGGCAGCTTTGATTTTTTTTTTGCGGTGTCAAAAGTCTAAATACTACCGCCAGCTGTCCCTCCACTTCCCAACTTCAAAATAGGGGTACCGGAATCCATACCACAGAGCCGACACCACGAAGGATATTAGAACTCCTGTTAGTAGAGTGACCCCCATTTCGTCCAAGTACAAAGAAGCCTCAAATCTCTCATCCGTGGGGAAAACTTTTCCAACCACCCCCTTCAACCAGACACGCGCCACGAAACAGATCAGTCCGAAGATGGGTAGAACCACAAATTCTGCGGATACCAACTCATAAACCCAGATCATGTACTCCGACCACAGGAACTGTGCTATAAATACCGTTATAGTGCTCCAGACCAAGAAGAGCGCGAGGAGACACGGGCCCACTGTGACTATCATCACTATAGCGAAGACGAAACTGTTCCTATCCATCAGTACAAACAGTGTCACCATAGCCTTCTGAGCCCATCTGTCGACAGTCGTAGAAACTATAGCCACGATGTTCTGTATGGTAGGATGTCTATCCATCCATCCTCGGACGAAAGCTTGGGGGGATAACCATAGGGGCTTTCCCATGGCAAGAAACCGGCTCCAAGGCCCAAGACCAGGAGGTATAGCAGGAACATGACGAAGAAGCTCAGAGCCATTATGGTGAACAAGACGACGATCGTCAAAGGCATGGAAACGAGGTGATTTGGAAAGCTCCAGGCGCCAGTGGAGCAGATGCTGTTCCCCAGGTAGGGGTGGATGAAGTCGAGGAAGGCCCAGTACATGGAGAATACAGCCTATCCCCAGAAGGGCCGTGTCGAAATAATCGAATATGACTTTGAAGCGTAAGAACCGTGCTGACATGAGGGGGTCGTTGTCTTGGCTGTCATTTGCAGCCTCTAGGTCGGAAGCGGCAGTTCTGATCGCAGGGTTTGTGAACTGCTCTTGGATTAGGGGGGCGGAGCTGTCATTGTCACCTTCTCCAGTTCTGCTTGATGGTCCGGGAGACTGCCCTTGGATGGCCGTAGAGCCGCTATCACCTGTTGTCTCCTTTTCCCCAAAGTCTGTCTTGCTCAAGGCATACCTCGTACTTGTTGATTCCATGGCATCATCGCTCGCTCCCTCCGTCGTATCTTTGGTTCTCTTGACGAGTGGTGCTTGGTCGTCTTCGTCGTCATCTTCTTCCCCAACAGACGCTTCCAACTCGAAATCAGCGGCGGACACAGTTGTCTGGAGCTCAAAAGCAACTTTTGGTGCCTCCAAGAGAAAGTACCGCGTGAGCTGCCTGCAATGCTATCTCCAACACCACGTATGAAGCAACATACATCCACGCCCAAGCCATCGTCCATTTGATTTCCTTCTATGCACCCCACACATACACCAGCGGCAACATGCTAATAAAATCCCAGAAGGCGTGGTATCGTTGCGAGAACCGTCTTTCTACCAATATGATTAATCTCAAACTCATCAAAGCGATCCCTTCTGATGCCGAGAAATGAATTGCTTGGTGTATGATGAGGCAAGGCATAATATGCCACCGACCGAGAGATGAGAGCCAAAACATCGAGAGCGCACATTAAGGGTGACGCTCGGAGCCAGACTCCATTGTATGCAGAGATACCGAGGATAAGGCCAACGGGCTGGAGCATGGTATTCAGGGCGAGGATCGGGATGAGCTGGAAGGCCTGGAGCCACCTTCTCGAGGAAATTATCACCGGCATGACTACGCCCACGGGGGCGGTTGAATTGCTCATGGTCAAGGTATGTGTAGATCCTGAAGCAAGGAGGGGTTTGCTGGGGACATCATGCGTGCAACGACTTTGTTCGAAGGGATGTCTAGTTTGTGAAGGAAGAACAGTCGTCGTCAAGAGAGAACCATGATGAACTGATTGTACCAGTGCTGCGCCTACTCATAGTAGAAAACTATGGAAAGCCAAACACGAAAGGTGCATCAGTACCTCCCACATATGATATTGGGGGCGTTGTAGATCCATAACCACAATAGCTGTCTATTTTAACTACCCCCGCAACCGATAAGCCTTGCGAAGCGCCTGCGCTTCACAAACATTTTTAATGTGCAACATATTAACCTAGATAAGGTGTGTATAATGTAGCAATAGTTCCTTTTTGTTGAGACAGTTGCGCTCCTCTGTCCACCTCAAGGTAGCCTTCCCTCCCCACGTCCACGGTATTTCACAAACCTTCTTTTTTCTTTATCCTCTGCTCCTACCTGTCGGATGTCGTTCCTGTCTATTGCGTTCACAGAGGTCGATTGACTCCCTACAACGAGAGCCGAGGTCATACACATTACTCACTCACCAAAACCGAGTCTTTCAAAGGGACGATGCAACAAAATGCCAATAACTTCCAATTAAACCTCTCTCTACTAGCAGCACCCTCTACAACAATAATTATTGGTCAGCCCTTCACGATAGCATTCACGCTTCAAACCGACACTCCCACATCCAATTATAGGCTTCCCGAGTTTTACCTCAGAGGTTATACTATTGCTCTCTGTAGCTCCACAGCAGTCTGGACGCCATATAATAAAGGGAAATCATATATCGCAACAACCGCCCTCCACCCATTTGAGATCTTTCCCAGCAAGCGTACTATCAACGCCCCCTTGCAGTTCAATGAGCCAGTAGTCATACAAGAAACGCTTCCTTCCTCGTTTCAGTCAACACCATCTTTCAAAACGCTGCTTTTTGAGAGGAGATATTTCCATGCGCATGTTTCCTGTTTCGACAACACAGTCAAGCTGAAGATATTACTGCCATTCTGGCTTCACTCTTCAAAGGTACAAGGATAGTTAAGAGGCAGAATGAACACAAATAATATAATCATAATTAATCTGCATTCGAGAATCAACAGGAATTGAATGCACGTGATCTATACTGATTTTTATCACGTGGTTTTTGTTTCGGTCCAAGCCGACTTAGACCACTCGGCCATGTATAGCCTCAGGCATCCATGCATCGGTTTGTTTACATTGTGCATTTTGGTAACAACAGCGACCACGAATACTCATATTGAATGCGACAACGATTCTACAACCCACAATCTACACTTACAGAGTCGCGCATTGAAGCCTCACGATGTCCTACAATTCACGCATGAGCATGGCTCCCCCGCCATCTCAGCAAAAAAGCCGTGTCACGAAAAAAGAAGAAGAGAGCGATGCGTTTATGCGCCTGGTAATCCCACCCCTCCCGCGCAGCCCATAGAAGTCCAAGAACTGACGAGAAATTCCACAGCCCGACAAAGAAATCGCAGGATGTATCAGCGATATTGGGGTCCCCTTCACCGCCGCCGACCTCCAGAAACCGAATCCGCTCCAGATCCAGCAGATCTTCCAATGGTTCGCCGAGCTCCTCATGAACGCGACGCACGACACCATCGGACCTGCCATGCGCGCGGCCGCCGAGGATGTCTGCGGCGAGTATATGGATGTGGTTCCGTCTGATGTGCGCAACCTGATGGGATTCTACATGTCTCTGCGCAAGCTGCTGCAGGAGTGCGGGGTGCACGACTTCTCGTTCCAGGACCTGCAGAAGCCGACACACGAGCGCCTGAGCAAGATCTTCAGTTACATCATCAATTTTGTGCGCTTCAGGGAGAGTCAGACTGGCGTTATTGATGAGCATTTCAACAAGACTGAGACGACGAAGGGGAGGATTGAGACGTTGTATATGGAGAACCAGGAGATGGAAGCGCGGCTGGAGGAGATGAGGAGGAACCGCAAGGCGATGGAGAGTCACGTTTCGGAGAAGGTGAAGCGCAATCAGGAGTTAAAGCAGAGGTTGAGGGCGCTGCAAGTCAGCCAGACAGAGGTGATGGCAAGATACGACGGGCTTCAGAAGAAGAAGGACGAGTTGACGCACGTGTTGGAAGACAAGACGGCGACGGCGATTAATCTGAGGCAAGAGAGCGGGAAGTTAAGGCCATACGTGTTGCAGAGCCCTGCGGCACTGCAGGCTACTCTGACGGACTTGGGGGCGTCACTGAGCAACGAAAAGGCACATATCGATAGTCTCGACCGCCGCGCAAGAGCGCTCCAGACGAGCACCGATACCTTCGGAGTCGTATCAACAGATGTCGCCTCTGTGTCTAAGATTCTTGAGGAGACGGCAGCGGAGCTTCAGAAGGAGGATGAGGAGAATGTCAAGAACTCGCGGCAGCGCGATGCGCTGTCGGAGCGCGGGAACAACGTGCGCGAGGTCGAGCGTGAAGAGTCGCTTCTCAAGAGGCAGCTGGCGAAGTACAACGAGCGCACAGAGAAACTGCGCGAAGGGAGTCGGGAGAAAGCTCAGGCGGCGAAGGAGAGGATGGAGGAGTTGAGGGCGGTGCATAGAACGCTGACGGAGGAGAGGGGAGATAAGGGACGAGAGATGGAGAGGCGGAGGGTGAGGATCGAGCAGACTGAGAAGAAGGTATGTCCATATGCGGTTTCTTGGGGTTGATGAGGTTTGACGCTAACTCTGTTGCATAGATGGTGGATCTGAAGGAAAACATTGAGAATGAGATACACACTGCGCACGACGAATTCTTGAAGATGGACTCGCACATCAAGCTGTACATCACGGAGATGGAGCAGTCGTTGTAGGATCTTGGTCCGTTCGGGAGAATGTTGGGGGGTAGGTATAAACAAGGAATTGGGCGGCGTTTCGGGGAGCGTAATGTTCTGGGAATACCTCTGGATACTGCTGTTGCTTAAGTTGCAGGTTAGGGGGATTGTGTGATACCTTGTTAAAGTTGAATGATAATGAATATATGGACTTGTTTTTGCAACAATACTCCTCGCGTGTTTTAAACTTTGGCGTTGCCATGAAGCTTTTTTGGCAGGGCTGACGCGAGACCCGCATCCCCGCATCCCCGCATCTGCTTCCTTCCACGATCAACCATCCCCATCTCTCTTCCATTGTCCAACTACTACCATCTCAAAAGCATTCACTCGTCTCCCAAGAGTAACGATCTCCCGCTCCACCGCCGTTAGCCCTCCGTCTCCACACCAACCATCCACAATGTTCTCCCTCCGCCACCTTCCCCCTCTGATCGTGGCTACTGGGATGGGCCTCGGTGGGACTATGCCATTCTTCAGTCCCTCCCGCGCAATGACGATCTTCGGGCTTCCCCCCTCTCTGGCCTATAACCCAGCCGCTCAGGTCCTCATGACCATCATGGCCGGCCGCAACATCGCGCTCGGGGCAGCAATCTGGCTACTGTACCTGCAGGGGAAGTTGGGATCCGTGGACACGGTGCTGGGATGTGTAGGGATCGTGGGGCTGGTGGATGGATGGGTGTGTTATTATCAATGGCTACTAACTCTCCCTTCTAATTTATTAGTTACTATCAGCCTATACTCCCACCAAAGTAACTGATTCGAAGGTCTTGCGTTTCAAGCTCTAATAGATATGTGCTAATAGCGTTTATACGGCATATTCTATTTTATAGGCACTAAAAGTTAAATTGTAATGTAGAGATGCTGTATAATAAGCACATATCCTTCTTCGACCCTTCGCATATAGCTATAGAGTAAATGAAAAACATAGTGTGCCACTATAAAAATCAACGATATCATCGAGGTTTTTGTACTGCACAAAACTTGGCTAACTTCAGAATTGTAGATGTGTTGGCGAGTGAGTTAAGAGCTCTCGGGAACAGCGCAGTTCTCACAAAGAACATCCTCTGTTCTCCGCCTAGAAATCAAAGCAGATACTCTGACCAACTTGGCCTTCTCCTCTGCCGTGTGCATAACCCCGTAAGCCTTGAGCTGCATGACACATGCGCCACAGAGAAGCACTCCTGGCGCAAGGTGATGCATGAGATGCTTGACGGCAAAGAAAGACTCTTTCTCCCGCAATCTCGACAAGCTGGGTCGGGGCCGGCCTTCGCTCGAACCGCCTCTAGCCTTTGCCCGACATGAGCTGATAGACCTCCATACCAGTAGGAAGATGCCCCATCCTTGTCTGGAACGTAGCACATATATAACATAGTGTAAATCCAACATTCCGCGCAGTTTTCCCTGGACATACCTTGTTTTTGCATGGAACTCGGTCCATGCGAAACAACTGAACTGCTGGCCACGCAGAATTCAGTCCAGTCCACTGGACTTGGGGGATAACTGCATCGATGCGCACAGTTCTCATGATCTCATGAGATTCGATATTCATGAATCCCGAATTGCGCAGGGGACAAGGACATGACTGAAGGATGATCATCATGATCGCTTCTAACAGATGCACGTAACCATCTCGCACGTTTCTGCTTGGGAATGCAGCAAGGACCCGGAAGTTCCTGGCTACATTTGGCTTGCAAATGTAGTTATAATGCAACTCTTCGCATTCTCTTTTGAGAGCTTACCTCCAGTATATAGCTGGGCAACTCTCGTATGCTGTGAGACACGTTTGAACAGCGTACAACAGCGCTCCTAATAGTCCAAACAGTCAGTCTGGAAACCTCAGACTGGACTGTTAGTCGGTCCGTCATGGTCAGACTGGACTAGTCGTCAGTCTGTCATGGGCAGACTGGACTGTTGGTCTGTTCGTTATCGTCAGACCAGACGGACGGTCCGGTCCGTCTTTGCCAGACTGGACTGTTGGTCCGTCCGTCATCATCAGACCAGACTGCAGTCTGGACTGCAGTCTGGACTATTAGTCTAAATCACAACATATGACTTGTAGCCTTTGCTATCTACGATTCTACCTCCAAGCTCCCCTATGTCATCTCCACTGTGTCTGATCCCCCACCGCTCTCATCGCGCCCCAATGCATCAGAGTGGTTGAACCCAGCAGCCGCATCGACATAGCGACACTGGACTCTGCAATTAGCTGACGGTAGTCCTCACGAAGCAGAAAACTCACATCTGATGGGACTATCAAGGCGCTGCTGTCCCAAGAACGTAGACATTCTACGAGATTTAAAGTTTCAGCGTCCATAGCTCCTCGCTGATCGGTTACCGTAAGTTTTGATTTCGAGAAGAGTCGCTCTGTCCCAGAAGACATGGCTGCAATAGAAAGAATGTCAATGGCCATCAATGACAAGCTAGGGAATCGTTTTCGCTGGGCCACCTCCAGCCACCATTTCAGCGGGTCTGGTGTCATCACAACAGGCTCACGGCAGTACACTTCGTACTCGTCATCGTCTGTGTTGAAAATCGTCGCCTTCTGCTCATTCATCCACATTTTGTACCCATTTAGCCGCCTCGTAGTTGGCTCCTCTGCTGAGCCTGGTCGAAGAACCGGCAAGGAAGAAGTTGATTTGTACGATTGCCTCCACAGCTGCCCTACCCGAGATTTAGCTCTCTCAATCCATTCCGTCTTGTCTTCCCAAGTCTTCTCCATGTATGCCCACTTGAAAGAAGGGTTTAAGACTGTGGCTGCTGAATAGACTGGAGAGTCTTCTGTCAATTCATAGTAGTCGGCCAGTTTGGCCCAAGCAGTCTCCATCATCATAGCCAAGTGGGGGATGGTGGTGGCCTCCCTGGCGGCCTCGATGTGGTGTAGGAGATAATCCATGGTGGGAAGAACGTCGGCGATGGAATTTTGAACGCCCTCGTTGGCCATTGTTGCGTCGTGGAATGGTTCCAGAAATTTGTGAATCTCAGCCAAAGTTACCCAATCAGACGGAGTCAGGGCATCCTCTTGTAGAGCAGGCTCTTGTGCGCAAAATACGGTGATAGCTTGCCTGACTTTAGGCCTGAGAGCCCTTTCAACCATTTGGTACCATGAATTCCAACGAGTGTCATTGTCACGCCGTAGCCTGAGGCCGTCGGTGAGAACAGTAAACGTTTGAAGCCTCTGGGGGGTCCAAGTGATATAGACCACGATATTATGAAGCTTTCCTATCGCCCCTCGCTTTCTCCATTCCTCAATCTCCTCTTCGGACGGCCCACCATAGGAGCCTGTCGTCCGCGGCCGTTTTCCTATGAGAAATTCCATCACGGCCAGGTTTATGATGTGGCCGGTACAGCGAAGCCGGTGAGGAAGAGGGTCGTAGAAAACATCAAACTCTCGCTCCAGTTTGTCAGAGACCTTGTCAATCATGGTGTTCATGTTGCTAGCATTGTCCATCATGAAATATCCAACTTTTGTGGCGATTCCATATTCTCGTATGAACTCCATGATGGCTTCGGCCATGTTTTCTCCACTATGTTCTCCTTCCAGCTCCTTAATCCTCACCACAAGCGATTGTAAACCGTGATCTTCGGTTACGAATTGAACTGTGAAACCAATGACCCCCAAACCATTCGGCGAAGTCCAATTGTCAGGAATAATATGGATCGAAGAAAGAGCATTTTGCAAAGCTCTCTTTACAAACTCCTTCTTGTTGTCATAGCCCCATTGTAAGTCGGTTTTAACTGTATCGCCAGACCTTGGAAGGAGATCATCGGCAGCCGGACGAAGATAGCGGATGAAGTCACGAAAGGCTGGGTGTTCGACCTGAGCAAAAGGGAGACTGCAAGCTACCGTGTAGCGGCAGTATAGTTCGCGTAGAGTGGCTTGGTCAAGCGCATCCTCCTCTGCTGTCACCTTGCGTCTCTTGGTAGAGGTCAGGGTTTCTTTGCTCAAGAAGGAACTGATGTCTCCAAGGCGGCTTTCCGTCGCTTCCCGGTGGATGTCTTGCCTCTTAGAGAGCACAATTCCATGCTGTTTACGCAGATGATCGATGATAGTGGACGATCCACCAGAGCAGTTGTACTTCTTGTCTCTTTTCTTCCTGTCGAAGCAGGGTTGGCAATACCACCATTTCCTTCCGTTGGAATCGACCCAGGCAGCTGGTATATTCCTGCCCTCTTCTAGTCGACAATGTTGCCAGATAGGGGATGTCCTGTGGCGGGGGGCGCTAGGATTTGAAGATGAGGAAGCTGCCGAAGAAGAAGTGGCTAAGTTAAGGTCAGAATCGTCTAGACGGCTATTGCAGCCAGAAGCACTACTCGAGAGATCGCCAATAGAAGACATGACTTGTGATAGGTTTTGCAGTAAATGCTGGCTGCACACATGTTCGATTCCATCACTGGCACCGGGCCCAAAATATATACTGATGATGAAAAATAAACACTCATACCGTCGCGTGGACAGACGTATTTACCTCTAGCTCTGTAGGTTGGAATTACTTGACCGAAAAGCTCTTGCACTCTCTCTCTGAGCCAATTGAAGTCTAACCACTGACAGGAATTGAGAATCGCTAAGCCCAACAGGGCTAGCATGGTTACGATGGCGTTAGGGGCCAGGCTTCAATTGGCTTGGAGGACGTGCAGGAAAATTGGGGCAGACTATTAGTCTGACAGTCGGTCTGAGATCATTGGACCAGACGGTTGGTCAGTCTGTTTCAGTCAGACCAGACCATCCGTCCAGTCTGACAAACATAGACTGGACCAACAGTCTGTCTGAGGGACGTAGACTGGACCATCAGTCTGGTCTGTAAAACGCAGACCGGACCGATAGTCTATGGACTATTAGTCTGGACTGCAGTCTGGACTAATAGTCCAGTTAATGGTCTGGACTATTAGGAGCGCTGGCGTACAACATGTCGACCCAATGTAACACTCGTAGATATTGGTCGACTTGTCAAATGGCAAGTTTATATAGACTCCCTTTAAAACATGATAGTGCTTCCAGTCTCTATCAAGCGATAGGATTGAAGCTGGAGCAAGAGAGTCTTGCCCGAGCAGCAGCTGGACCTTGCGTGTGATTGCTGCCATGTACGACTCCATCAAGTCGTCTGCCGAAACACGGCAAAGCAAAAACCAAAAGCTATAGCTGAAGGGCTAAGTTGGCCTTTGCCCTTGTCGTGTTGGATCATATTTGATCCCCTTGGCGAACCTCTTCAAGCCCGTAATCGCCGCAAGCCTACGGCGCTGGAAGTGTGCTTTGCATCTGTCATCCGACATTTGCTGGGCTGGTGCCATATGATAAGCTGCTGGTGGATTCGTGCCACCTTCCGCAGCTATCTCGGCACCACCGCTACTGGTGGCAATCTCATCGCCCGGCAATGATGGATCAGCATCAGCTTCTCCACCGTAGCCTTCACTAGAGCCTTCACCAGAGCCTTCATTGTCGTCGGGACCGGGAACAAAATCTTCATCCCTGTCGTCCCCAATGGCATCTCCGAAGGCGACCTCGTCTCTATCAAGAATCGCGAGTATGTCGTCTTCCACTTCCTGTGGCACATTCGTAGCTCGGGACGGATCGGTGGAGGCATCGGCTGGCGTGGACTGACTCTGGTTATCATCCTCGTCGCCGGCGATTTTTAGATCATAGGCTCTAGTAGATTTAAATATTAAATGGCTATACGGAATATTCTATTTTATAAGCACTGAAAGCAAAATTATAATGTTGAGGCGCTGTGCAGCAAAGCTCAATTTTCAGTTCTCATAACTAGGTCACGTGAGCACGAAGAAGATCGCGAAGCTTTCGTCTCTTTTGACATCATCATTAATCGCAAAGAGAACAGTAATGTATAATAAATATTGCCTATTAAGCGCCTATATGGCATATTCTCATTCATAGGCACTGAAAGCAAAATTACAGTGCTGAGGCGCTGTGCGACTAAGCACAATTTTCAGTGCCTTACCCACCGAAGTCACGTGGACAGGTCCCCACAAACGGCCCTCATCACCACAAACATCATCAGTCACAAAAGAGAACAACGAATTCAGAACAAACATGGTCTATTATGATCTATGTTCTATCCATAAAAACTCAGGTTCCACCGCGAAAACCTCTATCCATTCCCCGCGGCGCGAATTCCTTCTCCTATCTCCCCGTCGTAAACTTTCGCATGGCGCATGAGTAACATTTATTAAACGCCGAAAACTAACAAGATATAAACCCATTTTGTAACCGTTTACTCATCCTCATCGGTGAAGACCTCCTCACCACGCTTGCGGCGGGCCATGCGGTCCTTCTTCTTCTTGCGGAGCTCGGCGGACGAAAGCTTCGCCTTCTTCTTGGTATTTTCAACCTTGTTCCCAAGAGCATCGAAGGTCACTTCGTCTGCATCATCCCCCTTCAAACGGGGTCCAGCTCCCTGTCCCTGCACCCAGTTGTGTCCCGAAGGAGTCATCTTACCGTCAACAACGGCCCAAACTTCCTCGGTAAGATCCTTGGTGAACTCGGCCGAGTGAGTAATGATGATGACACCACCCTCGAAGGACTTGATAGCCTTGGAAAGAGCACCAAGGGAGTCACGGTCCAGGTAGTTGGTAGGCTCATCGAGGACGATCAAATGAGGACGCTGCCACGAGCAGGCGGCGAGGACGACCTTGACACGCTGGCCACCGGAGAGACCCAGCATGCGGGAGTGAGAGACGAGCTCGGCATCGAGACCGAAGTTGGCGCAGTGCTGCTCGATCTCCTTGCGGACCAGCGGGCGGAACTGACCGGAGGCGAGGGCCTCCTTCTGATCGACCTCGGCGACCATCTTTTGATGGGAGGCGAGAATCTCGGTACGCGGGATCCAGGCGTTGTCGGCGGTCATCATGGGAACCCAGCGCTCGTTCTTGAGGCCAATGTTCTCACCGAGAGCGAACGAACACTCGTACTCGTAGGAGTTCTTGAACTTGCGGCGGGAGTGGATGCCGATGACGCGACGGATGGTACCCTCGATACGGTAAGCCTTGTCCATGGCCTTCTCATCCTCGTCGGTGACGATCTTGTTGGCGCGGTCCATGGTCTCGCGATCCTCGCCAGTCTGGAAACGCCATTGGATGTACTCAGATGGGGTCTTCTCGAGGTGGTGATCGATATGGGCGAAAGCGTGCTGCTTGATGTAGGCAATACGGATGTTCTCGTGGGTGTAGACGTCACCGATAGTTGGGATCAGCTCACCAGTGAGGACGTTAATGAGAGTAGACTTTCCGGCACCGTTGGGGCCAATGACGGCAATACGGGAGCCGAGCGAGCACTGGAAGGAGATGTCGGTGATTTGGGGCTTGGGGGTACCCTCATACTGGAAGCTCATCTTGTTGACACGAACAATGGCCTTGGCCTTGGTCTTGACACCCTCAAGGAAACCGGGCTCAGGGAACTTGAACTCGATCTCGGAGGCGCCGAGCTCGTAGTAGGACTTGGCGGATGGGCACTTCTTGACGAACTCCTTGAGGTTACCGCGATAACGCTTAAGCTTGTAGCGCTCGTAGTGGATGATGTGCTGGCAGACGTTGTCCAGGAACTTGGAGTCGTGGGAAACGATGATGGATGTGCAGGGGGAGTTCTGCAGGTAGTCCTCGAGCCACTTGACGTTCTTGACATCCAAATGGTTGGTAGGCTCATCGAGCAACAGAATATCAGGGTCCTCGAAAACGGCACGGGCAAGAGCCAGCTTCATCTTCCATCCTCCGGAGAGGGCGGTGATCATACCGTTGGTCATGTCGGCGTTGAAGCCAAACTCGGCCAACTGCTTCTCGACGTCCTCCTGGGAGGTCTCGACACCAACCTCGGCCAACTTCTTCATGGTCCAGGCAATGGTGGTCTGCTCTGTATCGGCAGAGTCAAGGTCGTGCTCGACGAACACGGTCTTGACCTCGCTCTTCTTGGGGAAACCCTCGACCTGCTCGTTGTTGATGGCTCGCATGAGGGTGGACTTTCCGGAACCGTTAGGTCCGCAAAGACCGTAACGCTGGCCACGCTTCAGGCGGAGATGGGTCTGGTTGAGGAGGATCTTGGCACCGTAGGCCAAGTTGAAGGTGCAGTTGCACAGATCCTCACCCTCCTCATCGTCAGCCTCAGCGGCATCCTCGGCCTCGGCACCTGGGGAGGCACGGCGGCGGAGCTCGTCAACGATGTCCTGGGCATCAGTCTCGCCAGCGATGGCAACGACGTATGGCTTAATACCGCTGGTCCAGTTGTGGGTATCGGCATCCTTCTCGTCGATCAGCTGACCGGCAAGGGCAGCAATGTAGTAGAGGGATGGCTCGAACTTGGCAACGGCATCCTTGTGCTTGGTAGCAACGATCTGCTTGAGGATGGCAAGGACGGTGGGGATGGAACCAGCGTGGGAAGGCTCTGGGATCTTGCCATCGACGACGGCACCGACACGGGAAAGGGTGTCAAGACCCTGCTTGGTCTTCTCACGAGCCTCGGGGTCAGCTAAGTTCTCGTAGTTCTTGGTCAGACCGGGCATCAGCTTTGGCAAGAAAGCGGCAACAATGTTGGGGTCCTCGACAAGCTTGCACATGTTATCGACGATAACGGCGGATTTACGCTTGATGGCGGTCTCACGCTCGGCAAGACCACGATCCAGGAGGGGAACCATGATGGCGAGGGTTGGCTCGTGAACATCAGTGACGAAGGTGGTGGCACCGAGCAAGTGAATGGTCTCTGGGACGTTCTCTGGCTTGGCGATACACTTGATGAGCTCGGGAATGAAGCGGTCGATATCCTTGTTGACGATAAGAGCGCAGACCTTCTCCATGGTGCCGTAGGCCATCTTCTTGACCTCAGGCTTGGTGTCCCACATCGACTCGGAGACGACTGGGATCAGGTCTGGGACGCGGAGAGCAAGCTGTGATGCCGACGTCTCGACGAGAGCCTCGATACAGGTCAGACCTGTGATCTTCTCCTGCCATTTCTGGGCGGTGAGGATGGAGTTGATGATGGGAGGGAGGAGGGCCTTGACGGCGTTGGCGTTGACACCCTTGACAATGGCAAGAGCAGCAGCGTTGGCGGCAGTCTTGACAGCGGGAGTCTTGTCACCGACAGCGGCGAGGACAGATGGCAGCAGAACGATGAGGTATGGCTCAACGCTGGCGGCGATCTGGGAGTGCTCGGCGATGGCCTGAATGGCGTTCAGGCCACGCTCACGGGCGGCAGCATCCTTCTTGTTGTTGAGCTGCTTCGTGATGGCATCGACGGCCCTGTAGAAAGTTGTTGTTAGCAATGTGTCATTGGGGGGAAATGAGGCAAAATCGAAGTGTGAAAAATTCTTCTGATTGCCCCCATGGGGTTATTTTTGTGACCCCACCAAGAGCAGCCCGATAAAGGGTTTATCTCTCGACGCGAGACAAATAAAGAAGTTTTTGTAAAATATTCGAGATCGGGATCAAGAGGAGGTCTTTTGCAACTTACTTGGTAGGGGCGTCTTGCTCCTCAATGGGACCGTTGATGAATGTGGCAATGTTGTGGGTGACAGCGTTGACCTCGTCTTGCGACTTGGACACGCTCAACTTTGCCATCAGGTCATCAAGAACCTTGATGGACTGTGCATTCTCCTTCTTAATGTTTGAGGAATCCATGGCTTGGACGGATGGCATGGTGATGGAAGGAAGAGAGAGAATCGAAAAGAGGGGAGAGAGGGAGAGGTGTTTTGAAGGGAGGGGGGGGTGAATTGTTTTTTGTGGGTATCGAAAGAATTTCTTTAGCGCGAAAACGCCAGGCGGCGTTGGCTCGGTATCGCAAAGACTTCCTAGTGAGGAGCTAATCGGGCGAATTGCGATTCGACGGCTGGGGGCGAATTCCCGTTGTTTTGATGTTTCGAAGTATGTGTTCTTTCTAGATTTCTAGACCTTTTGTCGAGTTTTTGTCTATTTCTTCTCTTTTCTGGTGGCTAAGGAATGAAGAGGAATGTTGAGTGTGGCGAGATTATTCGTGGGGGGTATTGATCGTATCGTATTCTATAACCGCGACTCTTAACGGAGGAGAACCGGAGGAGCAAAAAGCAAGAAAGGGGTAGTAGTATAGAGTGGAGAGGGGTAATAAAGAGAGAGAGAGATAGGAAAGGAGGATCAAAAGCTAGTGGGGTATGGGATTATATGTTTCACTATTTATTTTCCAAACAGGCCAGCCACCACCACCACACCACTTTTCCACGCCGGCGGCGGCGGCGGCGAACCAAAAAAATTAAAGCGAGATGTGGTGTGTCGCTCGCCGCATGAAAAATCGTATATTAGTAACGGCACCCTATTGGGCGAAACAGCTGCGCGGTAGTGCAGTAGTGGTAGAGTGTGGTTAGTGGTAGAGGGTATCACAATACTTTCTTATTGGTCAAACTTTTTCCACTATTTTCCGCTTCCAAGTCTGCCGCCCTATCATTTCTCATATCTGGGAAACGTTCTAGGAAACAATAACAGCACGAGAAGACACGAGTAATTGCACCACTCCATCTCGGATCCTACTGCCGGCTCTTACTTGAAGTATCTCCGACAAAAAAAAAAAGGACGACTACATCCCGGCATTATCTTTCCCCTTCCCACCGCCTCACAGATACATATTCTCTGTCAAACAATGGTACTCTACATCTACCCACCGCCTCCCATCCTACCAGACCAACAACATCACACAAAACACAGCCTCATGCACCCTCCCACGAGCTGAAAAAACACAAACACCACCGCCCTCCAAACCTCACACAACCGTCATAAGTCCACCAGCCCTCAGGAGTGAACTGAACCCCTGCTCACAGTAAACTCCCCCAAATCCACTCTCCCTCGCTTCTCAAAAGCACTGTCTGTACATCGCCCCATCCATCGATCGCTCTTACCCCAGATTTTCCCACGCCTTTTTCTTGCCCGGTGGCGTGCGCGCGCGATCGATATCGATAAGGGGTCTCGGCGGCGTGGATCCACTAAAGAAGCTTCCGTTCGGTGGTGCGTCGAGACGGGGAAGTGGGTGGCGAGACATCTGTGTAAATAGATCACGTGATTATCTCATGACTCGAAGCTGCGACGTCTCTGCAGCTGAGGCACTGGAGGAGGCAGAAAAGGAAGAAGGGGCTGGACTTGATCAGCGGTCTAACGAAGCTAGTGCTGTCTCCCAATAGCTTGTTCTCGTGGGATTATATGGCTGGTTATTTGTTGGAGGGGAAATTGGATACTTATTGTCATTATTTGATAAGTTATCATTACACTACCCCTTACTTAACGTAACTCCCTACACCATCCCCCTCTTCTCACAACTCAGATGAAATCATTATTCCCAAACCCTCCAAACGGATTCGGTGGCCTCTCATTCCCCCCTGGCCCTCCCTGATGGCCACCACCTCCACCAGGGAACCCACCACCTCCCCTCCCCCTCCCCATCCGATCCCTCGGCCCCTCCTCAGGCCCAATAGGATCCCACCTCGCCCCATCCGGCGCCTGGGGATCAAACCCACCTCCCTCTCCACTCCTCCTCCCTGCAAACAACGGATCATCAAACGTCGGATGCATACCTCCAAACCCCCCCGGCCTTCCCCCAGGGATAAAGCTTCCCCGGAGCGGATCATGTGGCCCAAGACCTGGGGGGTTCAAATCATCCCCACCGATCCCATACGGACTCCTTCCACCGCCGGGGTACGCGGCGCCCATCCCTCGTGGTGGACGCTGGAGCTCATACTCATCCTCGAACCCCGGCGGTGGGAAATCGGGAACGGGACCCCGCGGTGGCGGATTAAGGGGGTCGCGGAGCGGGAAGGGGTAAGGGCGCGCGGGTTCGGGAAGACCGGGGTCAGTGAGCGGGTCCTCGCGGGGGTTGCGCCGTGCGTAGGCCTCTTCTCTGTCATCCTGTGACTGTTGGCGCGCCGAAGTGTCCTCGTAGCCTTCTTTGTTGAGGCCCGGGATGAGCTTCTGGATGACTGTTGTTTTGAAGATGGAGGCGAGGTCTTTGATGCGGGACTCGGAGATGAAGATCTCTTTGAGTTTACGGGGGAGGTCGTCGCGGTCTTCGATGCCTGCGGCGGTGAAGGGGATGCGCAAAGGGAGAGCGGAGGAGGAGATGTAGTCTTTGGCGACGATTTCGAAGCGGGTGATGCGCTCATCACCGAGGCCGAGGCCGCGGATTTCGGCTTTGCCACCGAGTCGGTCGACTTTGACGACATATTGGAGGGAGGATTGGGAGTGGGCGTAGAGGAAGGAGTAGGAGCCGTAGGAGTCGTTCCACCGTGGCGAGAGACGCGGGGCGACGGCGGCCAGCTCGGATTCTGGGAGGTGGCAATTAGTAAGGTGCTCAGAGAGTTTGAGATGATGGGAGGAAGGGATAACTTACCTATTTTTTGGCCTTCTGAGAAGCCGAGAATGCGGAAGCCTACGGCTGTCATGCAAGCGTGGGCGAAGAGTGCGATGGCTTCATATGAGGAGCTGAGGTCTGAAGCTGTATCGCCCTGCTCATGTATTGGAAGGGCCTCAGCCATATGGCCGATGATGCTCTCAACGCTCAAGGGGTCTGATGCCATGGTGGCGGGTTATATAGTTGTCGAGCTGTATAAATGTTGCAAGGTGATGTTGATGTTGACGTTGAAGTGACGCAGGGAGTTGAAGTGGTGTTAATGGGACGTTGAAATACGACGCAGTTGTTATCAGATATGATTTCTCAAGGCGTACCAGCGACCAGCGAAATATCTTCAGAGTTGGAAAAGAGTTAAGGTTTTAAAGTATGTTTTAGGCAGCTCAGGTTAGGCTAGCGATTGGGTTATGGGATGATGACGATGAGGCGGCAAGAGCTGCCTGGGGCTGATAGCGGGGTAGATTTATCTTATCTAAAGCTCCTAACATTGGCACAAAACCCAACCCAGACGGGTAACTTATTCATAATCCACGATAAAAACTCAATTCCACGTCGCCAATGTTTAGATTGCTTTATCTAATATTCTAATGTTATCTAATAATTATTTGGCTTCATTTACAATCCAACTTAACAACTGTCACTTAAGTCTTCCTGTGCATCACGCCGGCGCTGGCCTATAAAAATCAGTACTAACGTCTACCAATATTATAAGGGTGTCTTACCTGATGGCTAGGGAAAACCAAGGTATCCGCGACTACTACATTCTCTCGGCGACCTGCGGCGAAGACGATAATCTCGGCGATGTCCTCGGGGGTCAATGGCTCGCAGCCGCTATATATTATCAGAACCTTGATTTCTCTGTACTTTGAGGCAGACTTACGCGTAAACAGCATCAGCCTTCGACTTATCACCATAGAACCTGACAACGGAGAAGTTCTATAATAATCAGTAAGTCTGTCATCCATTGCGGAGATAGGATGGCATACGGTCTCGACCTGTCCCGGGTCAACCGAGATAACCCTGATCCTCGTAGCAACCAGTTCCTTCCTCAAAGCATCCGTAAAAGACTTCACAGCCGCCTTTGTAGAGCAGTAAATGCTGCCTCCCGCATATGGTTCCCGGCCAGCGATGCTGCCTATGTTGATAATATCACCCTTGCCTCCCTCCTCGCGCTTCTTGAAGATCGGCAGCACGGCCTGCGTCATGTTGATGAGTCCCGTAACATTGGTCGCGAACATGACATTGATGTCTTCCTCCGTAATGGACGGCGCCTGTGCTACTCCCTTGACCAGTCCCCTGTAGCATCGTCAGCAATGTCCACGCATCAATTGGGGACCACGAACGCGTTGTTAACCAGTACGTCAATCTCCCTGAATTCCTCAGGCAGACGCTCCACAAACGTCCTCACCTCCTCCGGCTGGCTAACATCCAGTTTGAATGGCAGTACCTTGACACCATCTCCGACCTCCTTCTTGATTTCTGCTGCGACCTCCTCGAGTGTCTCCAACCGGCGGGCTGTAAGAACTAGCTTCAGGTCCTTAGGTGCCGTTCGCGCGAACTCAATCGCGGTAGAGCGGCCGATGCCGGAGGAGGCGCCGGTGATGACAATGGTCTTGCCCGTGAGGCGGCCTGACATGGCCGAGGCAGACATAGCGCGTAGGAGTGTCGGACTGATAAAGCTTGGTTGTATTGCACTGGGGACAGGTTTGCGAAGTAGGGCGGAGCGAACGAGGGTATTTAGGATGCGAGCTGGTGGCATGTAAACAATGTGACGCTTGACTCGCAGGATAATTGGAGAGAGGGGTGGTAGGCGGGGTTTATAAATCAAGTTGGATCGTGTACTGTAAAGGGCAGTTGGTGCCATCGAAAGTGGGGGTGAGATAGTCGGCAAATTGAACCCCGCGCGTACCCGGATGGTAGGAAGTCCTACCAAAATCGCGTCATAAGAAGTGGGTGCATATACAGTCAAATGCCGCTAAGACGATGTTCGGTTAGCAGATATATTCAATTGTGCGATATATTTTCTCGCACCGAATCAAAACACCATATATTGTCCGATATTCAAGATAATCGTCATTCTGCCTCCAATTATCGTATTATCCATCAACCAATGTGTGTTTCTTGACCTTCAGAATGCCTCGAAAGCAGCCTATTCTACTCGAACAACGCCGTGCCTTCGTGCCTGGGCTCGGAAACAACATCAAAAGCCAACTCAAAAGCAGTGTATCGAATGGTTCCTCCAGCAATATAACCACAAACTTAGCCAGTCGACAGTCTCTGAGTCTCTCAGCCATCACTTTGACAGCCTTGACGAAGCTCCTAATACCAACAGAGCACGATTACGAACTGGAAACTGGCCTGAAGTCGAAAAGCTTCTTCTTACTTGGCAACTTCGAATTGAGTTGAATGGAGGGTTTACAACTGGTGATCTACTTCAACAAAAGGCGCGACAAATATGTAAGGATGCCTCCGCCCTCAGTGACGGAAAGGATCGGAGTCGGGCAGGTTACAGTCACGTGGGGAGAGTTAGGGCAGGTTAGCCAAGTCGGACCTGTTTCGGGTACTTAAGGGGATTGACCCAACGGGGTTCCTCATCATCTTTTTTGTATAATGAAAGGACACAGGGCACCCAGCTCACAGTAATAGCATATGAGAGTGCGAGTCGGAGGCTAAACGGATGCTATCCTATAGGTCTACTACGAAGGATACAAAAAAGATGATGGGGAACCCCGTCAGTCGATTTTCTCAAGTATCTGAAACCCATCCGACTCGGTTCCGACTCGGTTAGGCCACCCAAATGATCACACGTGACCCCGCGGCTACCCGGAGTCTACTCCCTAGAATGAGAGACGAGAAGGAATCCTTACATCTGTGACCATCGTAACAACAGTATTGTCATACTGACATTCGTTGCACTCAGTTTGCTATCAAACTCAAGAGCAAACTTGGAAATCTCCTCCTCAAACCTACAAGTCACTATACATATTTTGGCTTATCACACCAACAACAAGAGCAATACTACTCAACGATTGCTACAACCATCTATGATTCATTACACGTCATCGCTCCTTAGTTACTGGGCCGATATTACCACATAGCATATCTCTACAACCCTCTATGATTCATTACATGACATCACTCATACTACCACATGACATATCTCTACCAACTAGAGGCCTAGGAGCATGAACGATAGCTCTAAAAGCTCCTACGAACCTCTATGATTCATTACATGTCATCGCTCTTTAGTTACCCACAAGATTGGTTAAGTTATGACATAATTTGTCTATGACATAATTTGTCTATAGGGGTACTCTGACCTTGGACCTCCTTTTACTTCCTATAGGCTACGAACCTAAGAGATGGTTCTATGGGATTCTCTTACGTCGACTACAGTTACCAAGCCTGGTAAGTCATGGAAAGTCTTGGAAAATGAGAGAACTACACTCCTTTAGCATAAATAGGATTGCCCTTTCCTTAAGAAAGGGCAAGCAGACAATACAGTAAATCGACTATCACATACTTCCACGTCTTTTCCACGCTTCCAAGCATTCATCTTGTTACTCCTTGTTTCTGAAAAGTCAGTGAGGTGTTAACCTCTGACTTACCCCTGAGTTCCCAGACTCAACATTTGTTGCAACTTGTCTGAACCACTTCACTACATCACACACCTGATTGCTGCGTTGTGGAATAGTCTAAGCTACGACCCTTTGGCTCTGTTTTCTAAGACAGTGTGTTGTCTTAGTAAATTCATCCCTTCCTTGGGTGGCTAGATTCTCACATCTGGTGCACCCACCATTACAAGTATTATAAAGAATACTATATTAAGTTGAGCACGAAGCCCCTATCTAAGGGAATACTATCTACTTATATAGTAGCATCATGCCTTATGGATAATCCGGATAGTTGATAGATAGCTAGATAATCTAGATAGTTTATAGATAGCTTAACTATCTAATATCTACTAGTTTCTATAACTATCCACTAGCCTAGTCATGCTACAGCCTAGCCCTACTAGCCTTGTAACTTCTTAGGTCACGTTACTAGAGCCTAGCCCTACTAGCCCTATAACTAACGTCATGTTACCGTAGCTATAACACCTTACTATTCCTGCTATTCCTGCTATTCTGTCATGTGCATGCCCTAGGGAATAGTTCGAATAGCAAAGTCTCTAACTATTCCTGCTATTCCTGCTATTCTGTCATGTGCATGCCCTAGGGAATAGTTCGAATAGCAAAGTCTCTAACTATTCCTGCTATTCCTGCTATTCTGTCATGTGCATGCCCTAGGGAATAGTTCGAATAGCAAAGTCTCTAACTATTCCTGCTATTCCTGCTATTCTGTCATGTGCATGCCCTAGGGAATAGTTCGAATAGCAAAGTCTCTAACTATTCCTGCTATTCCTGCTATTCTGTCATGTGCATGCCCTAGGGAATAGTTCGAATAGCAAAGTCTCTAACTATTCCTGCTATTCCTGCTATTCTGTCATGTGCATGCCCTAGGGAATAGTTCGAATAGCAAAGTCTCTAACTATTCCTGCTATTCCTGCTATTCTGTCATGTGCATGCCCTAGGGAATAGTTCGAATAGCAAAGTCTCTAACTATTCCTGCTATTCCTGCTATTCTGTCATGTTACCATAGTCTAGCCCTACTAGCCCCATAACCATGACATCACGTTATAGTAGCTGTAACATTGATGTTAAGCAAGTATCATTACAAGCATCCTTCACTTCTTAGTATGTATCCTTTTAGTTTAGGCATATGTAGTGGAGTATAAGGCATTGCTCTGCTTCTGTGTATGACTTTCCCTATGGTGTATAGGGTAGGCTCTTGCCTTTAGTGCATATTAGGTTAACTGTAATTGTATATTGTCATACTGACATTCGTTGCACTCAGTTTGCTATCAAACTCAAGAGCAAACTTAGAAATCTCCTCCTCAAACCTACAAGTCACTATACATATTTTGGCTTGTCACACCAACAACAAGAGCAATACTACTCAACGATTGCTACAACCCTCTATGATTCATTACACGTCATTGCTCCTTAGTTACTGGGCCGATATGACCACATAGCATATCTCTACAACCCTCTATGATTCATTACATGACATCACTCCTTAGTTACTGGGCTAATACTACACATGACATATCTCTATCAACTAGAGGCCTAGGAACATGAACGATAGCTCCAAAAGCTTCTACACGTCATCGCTCCTTAGTTACCTGTCATACTGACATTTGTTGCACTCAGTTTGATCAAACTCAAGAGCAAACTTGGAAATCTCCTCCTCAAACCTACAAGTCACTATACATATTTTGGCTTATCACACCAACAACAAGAGCAATACTACTCAACAATTGCTACAACCATCTATGATTCATTACACATCATCGCTCCTTAGTTACTGGGCCGATATTACCACATAGCATATCTCTACAACCCTCTATGATTCATTACATGACATCACTCATACTACCACATGACATATCTCTACCAACTAGAGGCCTAGGAGCATGAACGATAGCT